TGGGTGGATGTAGGATATGTGGGGTTGGGACTGTTTCCGACCGACCGTTTTGCATGCAAGTCCCTTACCCAAAGACATACATGCAGGCATTTGCTTATTATTGCTGGACTCTTAAAACTTGCTTTGGCACATTACGTGTGCATGTCTCACGGCTCGGTCGTTTAAAGACACACATCACTCTACGTACGACACTTCAGCACACACTGTAGCGCATACTTTAGCACACACACACACACTCTCACCCCCCCAACCCCCCACCCTCCAAGGTTGCGCTCTACGTCCCGCGGACGAGTCCGAGGCTGTGAGCATGGCGAACGCCGTCTGGAGAGCCACGTGGCCCGTGGAGCGTGTACGGCAGAGGGCGTTCTTCACGTTTGGAATGGACGTACTGCTTTCCCTGGACCTGTACGAGATGAGGGAGTTCTTCAGGTGTGGCGGCGGAGTGAATGTGTTTCGATGTGGGGGCGGGTGGGGGGGGGGTGCGACCTGTGACGTGGTGGGTGTCCCTGGTTGGCTCACTGGATTTACAGACAGACTTACGTACGGTGTGTTTTGCCGATTAGCGCAAATGAACGGATGAATGGACGAATATGTCCGATGGGCCAGATGGCCGGGTGGCTCTTCTGGATCGTTTAAACTTTCTTCCCACCCACCCACCCAACCACCCACCCACCCAACCACCCACCCACCCAACCACCCAACCACACACCCAACCACACACCCAACCACACACCCAACCACACACCCAACCACCCAACCAACCACCCAACTGCACTGCATCAAACGAGGTGCATACAGGTGGTGCACATACATAGCGCCCCCTGGCCCACAGATGCTGGTATGTAAGTATGTATTTCCGGAGCCGCGCGACGCGAGAAATGCGGTTGCAGGGCGGTACACGAGAGCTGGTAACTTATAAAAATAAATCAAAGCGAAGAGCCCCTCGATCCCGTGAGGTGGTGTAATGATGTACTTACGCGGTGGTATGTACCGCCATGCTGACGACATGCTGACCCATGGGTCCGTTGGTTCGTTTCCCCAGGGCCTTCTTCAGTCTGAGCAGTTTCCACTGGCATGGCTTCCTGTCCACACGGCTGTCGTTCCCGCAGGTGTGCTTGTATGTATGTATGTATGTATGTATGTATGTATGTATGTATGTATGTATGTATGTATGTATGTATGTATGTATGTATGTATGTATGTATGTATGTATGTTGTTATAGGGTGGTTAACTTCGCCAGCGGCCCCTTTCCCGGGGCAGTCCCTGCACTCCCCTGCTGCTAGAGGGGCACCCTAATCCGTCACCCCATCCGACTTCAGAATGTAGTATGTTGTATGTATGTATGTATGACGTTGATTACACTGTGGGCTGAAAAGCCGGGGGCCCAGGGCCGAAGCACAGCGCGGGGGGCGGGTGCATACGGCTGGTTAGTCTCATGCACTCCGCCCCCGGGTCAGGCCGCACGGGAAACGACGGCCGGCACGCAACAGCGCTTGTTTGGCGCTCCAACTAGACGGGATCTATGCCCGTTGGTCTCCTAACATAAACGAAGTCGCAACTGGGGGGCTCTTCCTGCCGACCGAACGAACCGAGCATCTCAGAGAGCTCGCTACCAGGACTTGGGCGACCGGGAGCCCGACGAGTCTTCCCGGGCTGGGGAGGTCACCAAGCTCAAAAATCCTCACGCAAAAAAGAGCGCAAAGAGCTCACACCACAAGACGCCAAACAGCCTCCTGAGACTACTACCCTCCTCCGCCTCTCCCTCCCTGGGCTAGTCCAGGGGAGATAGCCCCCGTCGAGGGGGTAACACCGCACAAGTCCGCGCCCTTCCACAGCACTGGGTCTAAATTGAAAAGTACTCAAACGGGAAGACCCTGCGGCAACGCAGGGCGATCAAGCCTCCTATGTATGTATGTATGTATGTATGTATGTATGTATGTATGTATGTATGACTTAGATTACACTGTGGGCCGCGAGAGCCGGGGGCCGAAGCCGAAACACAGCGCAAGGGTCGGGAGCACAAAGCACAAGTCGGTTAGTCTTGTGTGCTCCCGACCCCGACTCAGTATGTATGTATGTATGTATGTATAGTTGTATAGTTGTTGCTGTTATTAATGTTTTATGGACTTATTCGACCGAGAGGTACCAGAAGGAAAAATGTTGATGACGTGAGAGTGTTTGTCTGTTGTGTCTTGTACGTGACCGCTTGGCTTGCGTGTGTGTTTTCTCCACTCCTCAACTCCCCCCCCTCCCCGTACCCGTTACCTGTCCCACCACGGCCTCCGTCGCTTTCTCTCCTTCTAACTTCTCCCCTTTCCTCCCCCTGTCCCCCTGTCCCCCCTTCCTTTGGCCGTCCAGTTGATTGTGTTCGGATTGTCGCTGTTCCTCAAGTCCTCCAACGCCGCGCGCTCCTCCCTTCTGCTGCGCGGTATACCCGGCCTGCTGGCCATGTTGGTGGAGCTGGTGCCCACACTGGGGGGTGCCAGCTATTACCCGGGGATGACGTCGCTAAAGGTGTGTGGTGGTGGGGAGGGATGGGGGGTTGGATGGGTGGGGGAGTTGGGTGTCGATGGGGGAGTTGGGTGGAGGGAGGGAGGGAGGGAGGGACGGCCGGGAGGGGGTGTATTAGTCATGGGGGGAGAAACAGTTTCCGAGCAACACGATCAGAGCCCTGATACGTGTGTATGCGGGTGAGGAGTAAGTAGTAATACAGAATGAAAGGTTAATGCCAAAGGGTGGGGGGGGAAAGCATCCCACTCGTCACCTCGTGTGACTTACAACAGACGTGCAAACATTCTTTGACATTGGCGCCTTCACGCTGCCGTACTGGCCTGTCGTACACAGGAGCGAAAGGATGCTGTGGACGCTGCGGCCCGCCAGGCAGCGGCCGCCACGGGGGCCGCTGTACGACAACCGCTACTCGCCACGGCCGGTGCTGTCATGACCGGCCCCGCGACCGCTGCGGGGATGCCCGTGGGCGCCGCCGCCGCTGTGCCTGCTGCGGTGGTGCTGGAGAAGGAGAAGGAGGAGGAGGCCTCCGTGACTGTTGGCAACTGATCTGTCGTCACCTCCGTCGTCATCAGGTGGTCGTCGTTATCGGGGGGCCATGTGCGCAGAGGTGTAATAATCCTGAGGGCTGATCATGTGCATGAAGAGGGCTCCATGAAGAGGGCTCCATGAAGAGTGAGAATGTACGTATCTGGGTGGCAGGTGAGGAGTCCGGCCGCCCCCCTGGCTGCTCCCGTGGGACAACGGCCACGACGACGATGACAACGACAAGGGAAGTGCTGTGACACGTCGCATATGTACATGTATGTATGTATGTATGTGTGTGTCTACTATCTGTCTGTCTGTCCGCTTGTATGTATGTGCGTGGAGGAAGCGGGCGGGGTTAGGGATGAGGGTTTGCTGAAGGCGCCCGACTGGTGGATGAGTTGGTGGTTGGTGGTTGACAGTTACTCCTCCTTCGTTGCGGCGTAGTTGAGGTGGGTAGAGCCGGGCCAATCTCGCCTGTGTGTATGGTACGCATGTATGTATGTACGTATGCATGCATGCATACCTTTCACGTGAGCTATGTTGAGGAGGGGTGGGGGCGAAGGGCAGCTATTTGGGTCCCGGGGGCGACTTCCGAGGGTGCGAACTGGCGCCCCTGACTCCCCACCCGGGGTAAGGGGGCAGTTCTGTCGGGGGGTGGGTGGGGAGATGGGGGGTGGGAGGGGCTGGGCATGCACACAGCCGCTCCAACCTCCCATCAGCCTCCAGGTAGGGGGTTTGTGGGGGGATGGAGTGGGGGAAAGGGTCTGATCCGGAATGACCGTATTCGCAACCCGGGTGTCGCGACGTGTGTTTTTGTGTATGACGTATGTAGGGCTGTGTGTGTGTGTGTTCCTTGTGCGAGTATTATACGTGCATATCACCCATGCCGCATGTGGGAGGTCGACCCGGTTACCAGACGGACATCAGCCAAGATGAAGACAACGTGGGTGGCAGGAAGGAGAAGAAGACGAAAGACCAAGCAGGAACAACACCAACAACAACATTACCAGCAGCAGCAGCAGCAGGAGGAGGAGGAGAAAAAGAATCAGGGGCAGGAGGGGGGTTTAAAGGAATTAGCTGGACATGGTTTTGTTGGTGGATGCGGGGGCCGGTATGGCGAGGGGCCGTAAGGGACGGCTTTGTGTGCTGATATGTGGGGAGCTACCAGGTCGGGAGGTCTCAGTCTCGTGACGGCTGTATCGTGTTGTCAGTCGTGGTGTGGTGTCAGTCGACGGCGCCGTGTTGCTCTTCCCCCTCCTCCCTGCGTACCATTCCCCCCCACTTGCGCGTTGAGCGTTTTCCTGCACGTTTAACTGCCGTCCGTGATCTTACAACTTCTGTCGACACAGCGACCCAAAAAAGAAAGTGGTCGGAGTTGTGAGCTGGCTGTGTGTATGCATGTATGCATGTATGTATGTATGTATGTACGTATGTATGTATGTATGTATGTATGTATGTATGTATGTATGTGCGAATGTTTGGCAACTTCCCGGCGCACATATACGTGGCCGGCTCCCCATCTGCCGCGTCTTGCCGGAGTCCCTCTTGTCCCCCCCCCCTAACCCTCCCCCCCTTCTCTCCCCCTCTCTTCCTCTGGCTCCCGCGCTCTGTGTGTGTCGCTGTGGAGAAGTGTTGCAGTGGAGGAAGTGCAGTGCGTGGAAAAATCTTTGGCGGTCTTTTGGATTCCATTTGAATCCCGTCTGGATCCCTTTTCGTATCTGTGTTGGTGCTACCATGTCTTTCGTTAGTGATGACGTCATCATGTTGGTTGTAGAGGAAAAGACTGAACAGAAAATCCGGACTGGAGGCGTGTGATGTGTACGACATGGATCGTACGCTGTTGTCGATGGTTGTTGATTTGGCGGTTTAGGTTGAGGTGGTTGCGAAGGAGGAGAAGTGGAAGGAGGAAAGAGTGGGGGGGAAATGTGTTCGTGCCCGGGGGAAAAAGGGTCCATTTCAAGCTGCACTCCAATTTTGGTCGAGAGGTTTGCTCGCCCCACATCTTCACGTTTTCCTGCTGTGTAGGAAAGCCGGTGTGTATTTGTGTGTGTATGGGACGTTAGTGAGGCGAAGAGTTCAAAGGGGAGAGAAAGAAGAGGGAAAGGGAGGGAAAGCAGGTTGAACCGAGCAGGGGAAGGAGAGGGAGGGGAAGGAGAGGGAGGGGAAGGAGAGGGAGGGGAAGGAGAGGGAGGGGAAGGAAAATCAGTTGGGAGGGCAGGGCGGGTAACATTGCACCAGAAGTTACACCAGGACCAGGAGTTGCTCTTGGAGGCCGAACTAAAAATAACCCCGAAGGACCCGACCCCGGACGAGGACAGTGACCCAGGACGGCAGTTGGCTGAGGGGCAAGACAATAGAGGACATATTTTGTACAAGTCAGTGCAGTGTGCCAGAGGTCTGCCTTCCCCGTCCTCGGAGAGAGCGTGCGGGCGCGCGTGTGGAAATCTGTCTGTTGTGCTCTCGCAAGTACTCACGCGTGGTGCGATTCCATCCGCTTCTATGTGGGTGTGGCTAGTTTGCAGACTGTGATAGCAATGGTCAACTTTTGCTGCGACAACCCAGCAATCGGTGTGAGCACACATAGATTCTCGCTCTGTGGGTTTGTGATGTAGAGGGACTCCGACTCGATGTGGCTGCAGGCCTCCCCTCTGGCGGTTGGGGCGTTCGTAGATTTTGATAATGCATGGAGGGCACAGTCGCATGCGTGCGTCTTGAACTGGGAAACGGTTACTACAGCCCCCTCCGCCCGCTCTGGGTTGTTATTCGGAATTAAAACCTCTGCTGCCCACTTCCAGTGTTTTAGCAACTCCTCATGAACTACTTAGGTAATAACCTCTTCTTGTCTGAGAAGTGGAGGCTCCCATGGATTCCCCTCGGATTTCCACTCTGACAGAACATGCCATGACGGTCTTTTGCGTCTCGTAGCCTTTCCATGTTTAGATGATGACGCATCATCGCAACGCGGTGAAGCCGGTGACCTATCATCTAGGGCTGCAGCTTGCCCGCGTGACCGCAAAACACGGCCTGCACGAAAATCCTTCATGTGTGAAGTCCCCTTCAGGTCCAAAACCGGGTCAACACCAAAGGCGCCCAGGGCGCCACGGCCATTTCCCATCGCATATGACATCCTATCGCGGCGTTCCACCGGCTTACCCGGCGCATCTCAGGTAAGGGAAGGTTAGCGGACCCCACCTCTAAAGAGCACACACAGCGTCTCACAGGGGAAACCCAACCAGCTGGTTAGTTATTAGGTAGCTGGTGAAGGAAAGGAACCCGCAAACACCTGGATAGCCCATGCAAGAGGTTCAACCCACAAACCTAAACCGACTGCGAACGCAATAGAGTCGCAGTCGCCAACTCGCCGCTTAAGACGTTTACCTCAATAACCCTATAGGTCAGGAAGGTCATTCCAACTCTTATCTACTTGCTCCCCGGCTGTTAATGGCTGACAGTTGAGGAATGGTACGGAATTTCACTCCACGTCGCTGCTGTGAGAGGGGGACTTGGTTTTAGGCCGACGGACACAACATCTCTCAAAACTTGTCTCTGGTGCGTCTTGGAAAAATTCCGCGATTTCACGGACATCGTCACGCAACTCGCATGAAGTCCGAATCCGATCATGACGAACAACAACATTTCCTGAGGATATTGCCCTGAAGCAGCCTCGCCAGTTGCCAGACGGCACAACAGCGTCATCATATCTCTCAACTTGACCAGCAACAGGGCAGGAATAAAAACTTGTTGCCAAATCCTAGAAACATGGGATCCGATCCATGGTGTGATCCCATCTGCTTTCTACTAGGCGCGGTCAACCATCCCTCCTCCTCTTCCACGCGGCCGGGGTCGAACCAGCGACCCGGCAGAGGCAACCAAAATAAAGGCTGCGCATCCTAAATCTAAAAGAAAAGCATACGTAAAAATGCCGGCCCAGGTTCCCAAGCACCATTGGGACTGAAATCTTTCCGTGCCGCCCTAACTCTCCACTGTTCTCTACCTCCGTCCGCTTGTTTTCATCTGTCCAAGGGAGACAATAATGCGCGAAGCACAACACCTGCAAACAAATAAGGACATGCGTGGGAGTGGCAGGACCGGGAAATGTTACGGTCCGTGAATCGTGCAACGCAAAGGCGCCCCCAAAACAGCTCTGTACTGGCGGTCACTGCAGATCCCACTCCTCCACGAAACCCTACGAACAAACAACCCTAAGACGTACTATTGTACGGCTCGTCGAAAGGGCCGACAGCTTCTCTAACCTGCCCGTAGAATCGTCTGCCACGAACCCAAACACGCAGACGAACACATTTTTAAGACGCATACGCGCGCGTACGATGCCTGCACGGAAAAGAGGCTCGGCCTAAGTTATGTATACTCCTTTACTCAGTAGTGCCGGAATGCCTCCACCCAATTAGTAAAACTTCAAGTGCGTCTCCTCGTTCGTCTCTTTGTGCTTACATCATGGTGACTATTCGCCGGCATCCCACCCGCCCGCGCAACCACCCGCCGCAGCGCCCCGTACGCCCCTCAGCCCGCCCGCCAGCCCACGCCAAGGTCACCAGTGAATGCCGTGGTGCACCGCGCACCACCACAGACCGCCAATAAAACACAAGTATAGGTCGTCTCCAGCTTCTCCCCCCTACCACAACATCAAACCACAACCACCACGTCACCAAAAGAACCTCTTCCGTCCTCCTCTTTGTCCTCCACCATTCACGGAATGCAGTTGCAGATGTCCTGAAAGGACCGTCCTGAAAAGGGACAGACCTCCTCGCGACCGGCGAACAACGCACAGCTTCCTCCCGAGTCCAAAGCACGCACGAAACAAAGAAAGCACGGCCGTCCCATTATGTTGCGAGCGTGCGCATCCAAGGGCACCTAACTGTTCAAAAGCACACGATTCCAACTGACCATTAGCAGTGGTAATGTGTGCAGACTTTAAAGAACATAAAGCTACCACACGATCACACACACACACATATGCACATACAAATACACACATATGGTAAAATTCCATTAGAGAGTTGGATTCAGTCCATCACTCCAATCATCAATTCGGTTTTCTCTAACAATGTTCACATCCCAAACACACCAGGTGTCAGACACACAACCGTCACGTGGACACTGCAGATTTCTATAAAACCAGCTCCAGCTGCGGCGCCGTCGGCCATCCAATCACCCACCACCGCACGTACAGACGACCGCCATATCGACTGGCGCCCATTCCCTACATGAAACCCGAAAACCCCTGTGGCCCCGTTGCAAGGAAGGACCATCTCCCTCGTGGGCAGAGGTGGTTCAACAGCATGTGACCTCGCGTATGTATGTATCTATGTATGTACGTACGACTCAAGAGGATGGAACGGATAGCGTTTGGAAAAATCTCAACACGCGTCGTGTCACAGTCATCTCCTTCGTCAAAGGCGAAATTGCGAAGAGGCTGCCGAATCGACCCCCCGAACGGCGCCTTCCCAAACACATCACCCACTTATCATTAGACGCACACCGTCACACACACACACACACGGACATGTGAAACCACAACACTACAGAGCGTCATGCAGTCCGTGCCAGCTGCTGCATGTACAAAGCCTTGATGTCCCTCCACGTCCACGTAGTAGCCCGTGATGTCGTAGATCGCATCACGTCAAGACATGATGATCCATGCGCTTTTCATGGCACCCCCCACACTCACCACCGTGTCATCGCAACGTTTTAGCGGCAACACATATTTTCCCCAAACGCCTGTATGTTCACTAAACCCTCGCCACCACTAACAACTAAAAACCTGACATTACGATCAATGCAAACAGGCAAGTCGGCGATTAACTGTACGACATGCGCAATTTTCCATGGCGACAGCGGCGCACTCTTGTACTTTCGTAAAGGCAAAAAAAACACGCGAGGCGTTGCTCTCAGTTATCATGTACGGAACCCCACCTCCGTACATTGTACACGTCGGAAAGAGTAAATGGTAAATGTCCCAAGTTTGAAAGTTCTGCGGCTCTGGAAGTTCCGCAGCATTTGCATTTTAGCCGGCTCTGTTCAGTGGTATGCAAGACCTCTACAGCACGCAGACACACACACACGGGCGTCAACACACGCACAAAATTTAGTTATGCGCCTCCCCTCGTCATGAGCCAAAGTCGATGGCCCGCAAAAATAAGCACCGGCGCGGCAAGGCACGGATCGGCATTGACATGCAACTGTACTGCGTCTGCTCTTCGCGAATGCTCTACGACAATCTGCGATGCAAACCGGTGACGGGGGGGAGATGCGGGGAACTGAAAACCGAAGTAAAACAAACCCCGTACGTGTCCACACGTGACGCGCAGTTTGCTGTCCTCCCTTGCATGATCAAGATGCCGACACTTTCAAAAAAATTGTCCTCCAGAGGGGGGGACAACACCCGCTTCGAAACCCGCTTCGAGAAACCTTCATGACTTGTGCATCCTCTTAACGACAACCCGGGCAAATCAGAGAACAGAAGGCTCTGGGACGAAGCAGCAGCAGACAAACCCTTGTAGCAAGGCACGCCGTGCTCCCCACAAAACGTAGCGAGTCGGCCGTAAGTCCACACGTTCCATATGCCCGTAGTTGTACGACTTCGAGGACGGGAGACAGGCAGGCAGACAGGTACAACACGCTCCTCTCGGCATGAAGGCATCCCAGCCGACCCGAAAAACAATAGCGGCGCCACAGTCAAAAAATCGTCGCAGGGAAGTGCAAAACCCTAAACTTAACCCTGACAACCAAGATTAGTCTGCCAGTGGTTGTTGAAGAGTACGAAAATTCCATAGAGTAGGGTGTCCTTGGACGAGGGGGCCCCCTGCAGCTGACAGCTGACATTCCCTTGGTTCAATTGCGGAGATACGAACCGATAGCTCCTCTCAACCTCCCCAGCACCGACTGACGAGGCAAGCATACGGAGCATTTCCTTCGCACCCACATTGTGTTCTTGTGTCCTGTAGCCCACCCGTCAGCCGACGGTTAGGAACAAATCACATACTTAGTGCACCTGGAGAGGAAAGACAGGGGTGCTCGAGTACGGCTACTGAGAGACTGCGGAACGGGAAAGTCCAAGTCCAAGCAAACAGCTAAGGGGGCAAAGGGGGAAATTGCCGTGAGCGCGACCTGGCATGCCTCTGCCGCACAAGGCCATGTGCCCGTGCAATGTGGGTTGCGAGCCGACAACCACCCCCCGCGTTCAAAAAAAAACGAAAGGCATCATACACCACGCACGAGCGAAGCCTGGGCTGCAAAACGAAAAACAAGACAAAACATGAACAGCACTGCCAGTCGAGCCCTCCTCAGTTCAGGTGACCCACTGAAGCAGCAGCATCTTAAACAACCTGGCGGAAAGCGAGGCATCCACTGCAGCCATCACCCAGATCCAAACAGAGGACTTGAATTCAAAAGCAAAATAGCTCTTGTGCAGAAGGACAAGACGCAGGTGGGAAATGCAACCGCAGAATTTTTTTCATATTTTCAAACGCCATGCGCATACAAGATTTCAAACGCACCACGAGCCATGCATGCGCGCTGTGACGACAGGCAAACACCAAACACACGCGTGCCAAGCTGCCTTGCCGGAAAGTACGACAGGCGAGAAAAGGACGCGCAACAAATGGTCGCCATGGATGCCGTACTGACTGATTGCGGCTGCAGGAAGACAGGACTTGTACGCGGGGGTCATCGCATAACGCGGAAACAGACGGTTACCGAAAGATAAAGCTGTCCCCATCTGTCCATCTTCCTGAGACGTTTTGCGAAATGTTTTTATGCAGCAGAGGTACGCGCGTGCCGCCGGACGGACATCCAAGCCCTCCCTCAAAAAACATAGGAAAAAGTTTGACTAAAGATGACAAAAATCATTAGACCAAGATCAAAAGGACCTGAAATCCACAAAACAACCAAGAAACAGGAAATATCTGGGCGTTGAAGCGGGCTGGGACTTCAACAACTCTTCCTCGCACTCGCAGCACACCAAAAGTCAAGGTGTGACATCTCACGCGTTTTGCTTGATGTCCAACATCACAAGGGCCCCCCCAAGTTTGCTTAATTTGCCTTTTCTATCTCCTCGCTCCGCCTCCTCCCCTGCAGGACCTTCAACCCCTGCTCCTTCCTTTCTCCGAAGCCCTCCCCTTGGCCATTCAGCACCCCTTCCCTACCCCAACATGAAACACCACAACCACAACGTAATCCTCCCACGCACCGCCTCATCACCCCCGGTGCATCTTCTACAGCATCTGCAGAAGCTTGCGATAAGTAGACACCGACAGGCCCACCACCCCAAGTCCAAAGGTCGGCACAGCGCAGCCCCCGGCCCCCGCCCCGGGGGGTCATGACAACTCGGACATCCCAGGTCATCCCCCAAAGTGTCTAATCACCCGGGAAAGCTGTCTATTCAACCCCTGCCCCAGGAAGCGATCCAGCTTGAGCTTGAGGGGACCCCATTCCCCTCAACAGCTTAAACTGAGCACAGCACATGGGAACTGCGCATTGGCGTTTGACGTAGAGCTCCAGGCGTAGAGCTCCAGGCGCGGTGTTCCAAAGCGCGTTCTCGACTATTGGCAGTTGCTTCCAATCGTTTAATGCACCGCATCTGGCTTTTGCGCCCGGTCAACCCAATCCTACCCCTCATAGCCCATGGTGCCTGCCAAACCTAATAGCGCTACTTCTTCTACCATCACCACCATAACACCACCACCGCTGCCAAGCTGCCGCCCACGTCATCTACGGAGGCGTCTTCGGCTTCTTAGTTAAGAGTGAACCGCAACCAGGAGATCCGCCGCGTCGAAGGAGTAGCAGCAGCCCGTTGCCGCCATGTCGCCCAAGCCGCCGACAGTTCCCAGGTCGTGCAGGTCGATGAAGTGCCCGCCTACCTCGCCAGCGACCAAAGGCTCCCCCCCGCCCGCCAGAGTGGAGATGCAGTCCTTCAAGAGACCCAACTTAGAGACCGCAACCTCCCCAGCCTTACGAGCCGCCTCCTGGTGCGCCTCCAGTACCTAATACCGAGGAGGTAAAGAACATGCATGCATGCAAATACATGCATATCATAATATCTATAAACAAAAACGTATGTTTCGTTCACAAAAATGGACTCGCAAAACGAATTGATCTGCTGACGATTTATGAACCCCCGCTACAGCGCCGTATAACGAGGAAGAGCCCGAGATAGCTAAAGACATAACCTTACTAGGCCCTTATCGGAGGCGGCGCAAGCTGCCAAAAACTTCATAACCGGCTTTTCGATCAGCTACTACGATCAGCTACACCCATCCAACACCGCACCTGCCGCCTTCCTTGCGGCTACTACTCATTATCAAGCACTTTTAAGCACCAAGCAGACCTAAAACACACAAACGCGAACATGCATGTGCGTCGATGGCATGATGCCCACATGACCGGCCCACATACCCCGGCCAAGACTTCGAGCCTTCGCGACCTGGGCATTCCTTTGACCCACATCCCATATTCATGCATGTATATATGCCAATTATACCTTCTCAATTATATAATGGTCGCATATGCCTGCCCTCATGCTGCGTACCTGATTGGCTGCCTGAAGGGCGGCGTCCGCCGCCATCGCCTCTGTGGCCGCGCATTGGGCCTGACGGCCCAGAGCCACCAGGTGCTTCACAGCCTCGCCCGGCACAGCACCTCCAACCGCAACTCCAACAGAGCAGCTCCCCTCATCGCTAGCGGCGGAGTCCGCTGCCGAGACTGTCACGGAAGTCGGTGCGGCCGCCGCCACTAGCGATATCGCATCCGCATCGCCCACAGCCAAAGCTGCTGCGGCGGCGGAACCGGCTCCGTGAGGCAGAAAGGCAGTCTGCGCGAGCAGGGGTAAGGAGTCCAGCAATGTGCGCGCGTCGGTGCCTGGAGCTAGGTCCGGGCAGAACGCTGCGACGCGCGCGGCAACTGCGGAGAGGTCCACCACGCCCATGTTGCCCTCACCATAATCACCCTGCTCTTCATGCTGCTGCTGCAGCTGCCGCTGCTGCTGAACCAGCGTAGTAGGAAGCGGAAGTTGCAGCTGAGATTGAGAAGCGGAGAGTGCGGGGCCCTGGGCCAGTAGCGGCTGAGATTGAGGATGCTGCGGATCGTCGTCTTCCACAGTGTCGGCACCACAAGTACCACTGTCAAACTGCGATTTCACAACAATGCGCAGCAGGCCGTGTTAAGACATAATCAACCGCGTCGCATTGCGTCTTAGCAAAAACAGACTTTTGTTGCGGATTATCCACCATGGGCATTCACAAACCACTCCAACCAACTACAGAATTCCCTCACCTCAAAACCTGACCTGTAGCTCTCATCTTTCAACACATATATACATACATGCATAGCGCAATCCCGGGGCCCGAGAGCCTATCCTGTTCCCTCCTAAGAACGCCATAACGTCTTCTTACCCCGTCAAAAAGTGAACCGTCGCCCATAGCTGATGCTGGCCCCAAGCCAAAATCCACCTCCACCTCCACAAGCGGAGTGTACTCATCATCCAGCCCGCCGACTAAGCCGCAGCCCAGCTGGCTGCCGTAGCCACGAGCCGAGGCCAGAACCCCGTCCAGCATCCTACTGACCGAACCAAAACCACCGCAGCCGAATCCGGCACCGTCGACGTCCACGCAAGGGGATACAGGCACGGACTTGACCTGCGCCACGCAGCTGACAGCACCAGTTCCTTGATAAACAGCCGCTGTATCGCACTGACCGCCGCTTGGTGCCGGCGCCACACAACCAGTCTTGGAATGATGACAGACTCCGTTCTGATCGTGATCGTCGTGGTGATGGTGGTGATGATGATGAGAATCCGCAGGATAGCAGACACCGTCGCCGCTGAACTGACAGTCCAAGCCGGAAGCGAAGAACATGCCTGAGCCGGTAGTATCGCATTCAAGAACGAATTCAGAGGAAGCCGTTCCCAATACTCCTGCAGCTGCTACGGCGGCTGCTACTGCCGATGCGGTTTGCAGAGCGCCAGGCACTGCACTCTGCAGCTGTCCCTCACCCAGAGGCAAGGCCATCACAGGCGCAACAGCCATCACCGACTCTTCAACCCCTCCCAGCATGATGCCCGAGCCGCCTATGAGCTGGGCCGGGGTTGGCATGAGGGAACCCGCAGCTGCCCCGACAGAGGATGACGTTAGCAAAGGATAAGTAGGAACCGTTGCAGCTGTCGCCGCTGCGGCAGCGGCGGGCGCCACGGCAGCTACGCTACCGCCGCAGCATTCCGCCTCCCCGTCGGCAGCCCCCACCACCACCTCCACTGTAACGCCCTCCTGCAGGCTTCCGCATGAGTCGTACGACGAACAGTTGGGGCTTCCGGGGCCAGCGGCGGCGGCGCCAGCTGCGGCAGCCCCCGCTGATGATACACCACCGAATGCGCCCGTCAGCACGTCACCCATGTCGGCTTCGTGCTGGTGGTGCTGGTGGTGCATAGCAATTTGGCCGTTTATGGCAGCATTGTCCGGCGTGTGCTGCTGTTGCTGCTGCTGCAGGTCTATGGTGTCCAAGGGAAAGAACCCGGTGCGTGCGTACTGCGCCGTCCTGCTCGCAGCCATGAGCGCCGCCTGAAGGGCACCACAATCAGTCAAGGGACACAGGACACTAACCATTTCATCACTCGGCACTTAAAACCACCACACGGCAGCCCGACCGACCGGCACATGTAATATGTCGCCACAAATGAAACCTCGGGAAGTGCCGTACTACCCCCCTGCCGTATCACGATCTGGGTCAGGACGCTCGTATCCATCACTTCCATAACTCTCCAAACTTGCTGTACATGCATAGGAGATATCATTTTAGCTTGAGGGCTTTTCCGAGGTGTCCGAGCAGGTCTGAGCAGAGCACCCCAAATTGCCTTCCAGGCCGGGCCTGACAGGATTTAAGATATGCAGAGGTGTCAACACCACTGCCGCTCCCATACATCAGCTATTTGTTCCAGGCCGACCCAAATCGCTGAACACCCACCTGCCGCTGAGGGCGCTGCGAGGCCTCCTCACCCGGCGCCATCCCGGCCGCTGCAGCAGGCACGACGGCAGCGGTGCGAGCCGCGCGTGCAGACGCCACCTCCGCCTTGGCGGCCTGTGAGGCCGTGATGACCCAACAGCGCGTCGTTATTAGACAGATGTACGGGGCGGAAAGCCCCCTGGGGGGATTGAAACTAGATTCAAGCTAGATTCCCCGGAGTTGGTCCCGCAACACCTGAGGAAACCCAAATCCCAGGTCAGGCCGCAGTCATGAACCAGCCAGCCATGAGTACCACCTCACCTCCACACGAGCCACGTCACGGCCCTTGTTCCCGGTGACCCTCACGCAGGGGTCTTGGGTCTTTGCCAAGTGTTTCAAATCACCAAATCTACAACTGTCATTAACATTAACCCCCAAAGAAGCTGACCTTGGAGGTCCGCGACTGCCGGCCGCCAGCGCCGTAACCGCTCCTCGCTGCGCCCGCCGGCACAGCCCGCTTGTTCGCTCGCTGCTGCGCACGCACGTAGCGGACGCCACAGGCGTTGCAGAGCGTCTTTGGCCCCGCAGGTCCTTCACGCCACTGCAATCAGGAGACACAACATTTTACATGTATACAAGACACGACGATTTACACACAACTGAAAATAGGCGGCAGGCAAGATGCGAGGGCAATCTTGGCAGCAGCATGTCCGGGGGGTTGGTGTTGCAGCTCCTCAACCCGCATCCTGTCAGAAGGTTTACCACGTGGACGGACACCCCGACCTGGAACAGGTGCTTACTCCTTTCTATCATTTTCACGCAAGCACCCGCCCGACCACCCATCGTGCCCACCTGCGGAGTCTGAGTCGCGCCACACTCAACACATGTACGTCCGCTGACGAGCTTCCCTGTCCGCCGCACGGGAGCCGCGGGTTGTTCCTCAGCAACACGCTGACGCTTCACTTCTTCGCTGTCTGCCACGCCCTCCACGTGGCCCGAAATGCCTGCCTGGCTGCGCTTCCCATGGCGCCTTCCATCCTCTACCTCCATTTGCTCGGCTGTGGGGATACACGAAGGGACAGGAAGGCGCCCGCCGTCGGTGGTGGCGGGCCACGGAGTCGTGGCCGACACAAACTTTGCATAAAGATCGCCAGTTAAATCCCCTGTAGTTATGGGGAAAAAACTTACCTAGATCTGGGAATGGGGCAAAGCAGTTTTCGCACTGCTTATAGACCCCGCGGCAGAAAAGCCAGTCGTCAACAGCCACGGATTTCGCCATCCGGCAAGCCTGAAGCACGAAATACTGTATTGTTTCGTCCGTATAATAATAAATAATGCGTTGCTTATCCTATTTCCCGGCGCACCTCTTCATAGTCTCCCGCCCTGAACACAAAAGCTTTGCCGCTAATGCATCCGATAGGGTTGGTATCAGTTTCCTCCAGGGCAACAACCTCACGATCCCAGTTCCCGCCATGAGGGTCGGGCTCCAAATGCGCACGGCGCTCATACCACGCAACCTGCATGGTCATTTGCACGTTGACGACAGCCATAGCCCAGTTTTAACAGTCACAAATGCCGCGAACACATCCTTGAAAAGTATAAGAAGTAGACAAAGCAGCAAGAACCGCGCCGGGAAAAGTCAGAACGCGCCATGTTGTTAAAAAGCCCGCGTGTTTTCGGCCCCATACACTGCGGTCGACTCTCCCCTTGACCGCCATCAGAAGATATAAAACAAAAGACACCGCACATACCTCAACGCAGTGAGGGTCAGCTGCACGGCCACTCCGGTCGTGAAAACAGGCAAGAATGCGGCCCACATAGGGCGGCATGCCGTCGTCTTCCGGATACAAATAAGCACAATCGCCAAGCTTGTACTCAACCCCATTTAAGTTGAAGCCTGCGTAGTCGGTCCGGCTAGCGCCCAAGTTTGCATTCAGGGGCGGCCCGCTGAAAAAGAACTCAACTTGCAATGGACCTGACATACTGATATTCTGATGATGGATGGGGGTGAAGGAGGACTGCAACAGATGGATTGCGCGGAAAGGAAACGTCTTCAAGTTGTAAAAGGTCCTCCTGGAGTGTGGCGTACAGCTGTGTCGGAACTTCCGAGCGGGAGCTCCCCGCGCGTACACGAAACAGTCCGAGATATCGTTACACACGCACTAAACTTTTCGGGCAGTTCCGGATTGCATCCGATGGTACCAAAGTATCATCGTGCCGTGACCGAGGTAACCTTGCGGAGCAAATCGCAATGTCCGCACGTACAACCCAGATACAAACACTTCTTTCATGTATATTAATAAACTTGCATGACACATTGTGCACTATTTGCCACTGCCCACAATCAGTATATCACACTCCCACCTTACGAAGGCCCAAGCAGCAGGCCATATGGCACCTACATCTCCTTCGACCTCCCATTCCAGCTTAAACATGCAATTCGTCATGGCGCAACCCACGAACTCCCATAGTCCAATATTGCTCAAAGTAAGCACAACCCATCCGGGGTCAAGTATTGCAATCGTCCTGAAAACCAGTACCCACACACCTGCGTGATTCCTTCCTTACACGAGCTCACTCAACGCGAGAAGACGTCACGAGTAGGCACCCAACCGACCAACCAACCAACTAACCAATCGGAGAGCCACCGTCTGCAATGCACCCCCAACTAAAACGACGGCAAGGACGCAAAAACCCTCTCGGCTAAAACCACTCGCCACTCTGGGCACTTCACATCACTCGTAATACATCCTCTCCCCCCCCCTCACCCTCTATTACTCCCCCCTCCTCCAACCTCCAACCAACACCGTGTAGGAGCTCAACCAAACCCAACCCAGCGGAGACACGCATGCCCGCCTCTCCCAGTGCCGCATAGTTTGCCGTACACACGTACCGCTCAGATCAAAAAACCCACGTGCCGTTCCTCAATGGCACCCTGCTTAATATCCACCTCACGGGGAGGAAGCCCAGTTCCAGCGCCATAGCTGATACCTCAGCCCCGGTGGGGAGCCGTCCCAAGAGACGCTGATCGTCACCGCGTCTGGTCTTCTCCTATCGCCACCGCTGCCTCCACAGCCTCCACCGCAAGCACCTCCATAAATTGCCGCCACACCAAGAGGGGGCCTATCACGTGGGCGAGGGGGGCCGTACTCCAATGACACGTCAGGAGAAGTACGGCACTAGACGGCTGCTCGCCGGGGAACACCTGGTCGCCAACATCACCGTCATCATCACCGCAGTAGAGTAGTTAATAGTCATTGCCGTACAACGCAACATGCGGCCATTGTCATACCAGGGAAAATGGCCAATGTCGTATTAGACCATAGGGACGTTGCCGTACAATACGAGGTCGCCGGGATGTCGTACGGCGGCCAGAGGCACCGTGGAGAGAGAGGGGGCAGGGGGCAGGGGGCAGGAGAAGTTAAAATTTGACACAACACACACGCAAGGGGAGGGGGGAACGGGGGGAGGGACAAGGGAGAGTGTCTAGTACTGCTGCTGCTGCTGCTGCTGATGATGATGATGATGATGAAGCAACTCCCCCCGGCCATGGCCCTGAATTTCCGAAACCACCTCCGCACCGGCATCGCATCACAAGGGGATATTCCTTCGGCACAGTCTACTTGGGCCGTACTTGGAACACATCATCAGGCACTTGACCCCTTGCTCTTTCCGTCACCACATCGTATCATTTTCCCCCAACCCTTTTTCAGCCCCCTCTAATCACCATCGCCATCAGGGCCCAGGTTCCAGACACATTAGCGTTCTTAGCATCTTGCGTGCAACTGTAGTACCCCTACACACACACACACACACACACACACACACACACACACACACACACACACACACACACACACACACACACACACGGCACGCAACCCCCTCCCCTCCATTTGCCTTCCCCCTCCAGCCACCTTTCGATTTGTGTCCCCCTTTCTGCTGCCCAGGTCCAATACCAGCTACTGCGGCTGCTGCTGCTGCTGTTGCGCCCGGGGGGGGTTCGGCTCCTGTACGGATACGGGCGGCAGCGGGGGCGGTGCGGGGGTGGGTTGAAGGGGGCGAGGGGGACCTCTCACGCATCAGGGCGGGTCCTAGGACGGACAAAACACACAACGTGGTCGGGGGAAAGAGAGAGAAAGAGAGAGGGAAATGGTTCCATGGCTCCAAAAATAGATGACAAAATTGTGATACAGTCATTGAGCTCCAGGGTACGACACAGAACAGGACACGTCATGCGGGACTTGCGTGGTAAGATCGCTCGGCGAGTAGGCGGCAGCAGCAGCAGGAGGAGGAGGAGGAGGAGGGCGCCGAGGACGACGAAAAGGGGCAAACAAAGTACGCCTGGACGGCCAAGCGAGGTAGAGGATCGCCACTTCGCCGGATTCACCTTGCAGCACACGCTATATGTACGGCACATCAGCAACCCAACACATGTAAAACCCGGCGCAGCGGTTGCATGTATGTATGTCTGCATGTATATATATATATGTATGTATGTTGTTACAGGGTGGTTAACTTCGCCAGCGGCCCCCTTTCCCGGGGCAGTCCCTGCTCTCCCCTGCTAGAGGGGCACCCTAATCCGTCACCCCATCCGACTTCAGAATGTATTCGTTGGGTTCGGCAACTCACCACCAGCATCCAACCAAATCTAGCGGATCAACGGCGCATCAACTTAGTTCCTGGTCAGCTCGCAAGTTGATATTATCACGTCCTACACCGTCCATATGATGGGGGGCCACCTCCCATTTCATCACTCCTCAAACACCCGAGGAGCTGGCAGGCGGATTTGAACCCGGGTCGACTGGATCGACTGGGAGTAGAAATCAGGCCTTAACTTCTGCCAGCCGCCTGCCTATATATGTATGTATGTATGTTTCACTGCGCTTCACCATCCCCCTCCCTGGACGCTCGACCCGCCATCGCAACACCGACGCCCCCACTTTCACCCATCACCACACGTTGATGACCCACCATCGCGCACCTGCGGGCGGCCCTGCCCGTTCTTCTGACCTCCCGCAGTTCGCTTCTGCCCTGCCGCCTTCTGCTGCGAGCGCACGTAGCGCACCCCACAAGCGTTACAAAGCGTCTTGGGCCCTATATTAACGGAACGGGTCGTCGGGACGGGGTGGGAATGGGGAAAGAGGGGGTTGGGGGAAGAGGAGGGGGAGCTCCGGGTTCGGCCTTTCGGCTCCTGCATTCCACCAAACCCACATTTCCTCCTCCCCCTTCATGTCTACATCGCACTGCAAACAAACCTGGATTCAAAAATGCTGTCACCGTACAAATGTACAACACACGCCATTACACACGTACGGCACTCACCCATGGGCCCTTCTCGCCACTTGGGAGACATGGGGGAGCATGACGGGTGGAGATGTGATAGGGGGGAGAACGGAATGAGGGACGGGGGAAGCAAGAGGGGGAGGGGGGAGCAAGAGGGGTTTTAATGCGATGCCAAGTCAAGCGACTAAAGAAAATCAACACCGGGTTGTGGAAACAGCGTCCACCATCGTCGTATCACCAACCTTCAGGAGGAAACCGTCCCGTGTCATGCCCCGCTTTGCGACGTGGTGAAAAGGCTGAACAACGAACGACATCTTCCCCCCCCTCCCTCCCGTTTGCCAGCAACGCACCTCCCCGTAAATACAAGTTCTATAGTCCCACCTCCCAATAGAAAAACAGGTAGATCGACAAAGAAGGTAATAGAAAAAACGATCGCAGGTTCCGTCATTCAGTTATCCCATCAGCCACCCGTGCACCACCTGCTTCCCATTTTCACTTCTTTGTTGAGATGACGAACAAACCTGCGGAGTGGACGTGGCGCCGCATTCCACGCACGTCCGCCCGGTCATCTTTTGTCGCTTGCTCGCCGGCTGCTGTTGGGCTGGAGGGGGGTTGTGTTGCTGCTGCTGCTGCTGCCGCCGCGGTGGCGGCCCTGGATCATCGGATCCATCGTCAACGTTGTCATCAGCGGCGGCGGCGGCGGCGCCGCCAGCGCCGTTGTTGTCGGCCAAGGCCGACGGCAAAGGCAGTTCGTGATGTACGGCAGGCTGCCCGTGTGCCGCACCTCGAGCCGAGCCATCCGACAATGACTGATTATGGTTTGTTCGTTTGTGTTCGTTGGTTTGTTGGTTGGTCCGCGTACGAACGCCAAATTTGTTGCGCGGCAAATACGGATTCGTGGCGCAGAGAGTACGACATGCACGGCAAACGTGATAAGAGAGATTGGGCGGGGCATATTTGTCACAGTTCTGTAAATAGAAGCAAAAAAGCATGCGTGCGAAATAATCAATCTCAGACGTCCAAACAGCCGAACCCAGACGACCCCGGGGTGTACGGCTTCGGGGTACGACTCACTTTATTATGCAGTACATCCAGAGCCAAATCCAAGGACCCACATCAAGACCAGCCGGCCCCTCCCCTCCCCCTTCCTCCCCCTCAAATGCCCTCTACGTTCTACTCCTCCCCGCCCCACCCCCTTCTAGCAGGGGCCCTCTACTTCTCCCTGCACGTACGAAGTCCCCCTCTCCCAATGCAGATACATGCGTACATGCACGTAGACATACGTACATACATGTAGACGTACACACACACCTGTTGCTGTTGTCCCGTCGTTTGCTGCCCCCCAGACCCGGGCGGCCCTCGCTGCCGGTGTGGCCCAACCCCCCCCGCAACAGCAGCAGCAGCAGCCGCAGCCGGTACCCCAAGCAGCCCGTTGGATAGCCCTGAGGGGCGGATGTCGTCTGCAGCTGCAGCCACAACGAGGAGGCGGGGAAGAGACGAACCACGTGAACGAGTAAACTGCTGCCAATGGAAGAGTGTACAAGAAGCAGAACTGACCAGTAGGAGGTTTTGAAGGAGCCGAAGGAGGAGGGGGGAGGGAGGAGGGTAAGATGAACGCCCGACGAGTGTAGCAGATACCAGGGATAGACGAGGGAGGGATAGCGGCGATGACGGCGATGACTAAGAGGCGGAGGGAGAGGGGGAATGCCGAGGTGGTCAGGGAAAAAGGAAGCGCTCGGCAAGCAACGAACCCGGCCACGTCTGAATCAGAATCAGCAACACGAAAAGAAAAAACGAGGAACAATTATAATGGGTAAATGAATGGATGGATGAACTGAGTCAGCAGGGCCTCCGGCTGGAAGGGAAGTGGGGGACGCTCCCCTCTCCCCTCTGCCCTCTCCTCACTCACCCATCTCCTCTGGCGTGTACGCCACGAAGGAGTTGGAGCTCTGTTGGAAGTAGCCGCGGCAGAAGAACCAGCCGGGGGTGTTACCATACCGGCTGAAGGCCTTTGGAGGAGGACGAGGAGGACGAGGAGAGGGGAGAATGGGGAATAGGTGGGGAAGGCATGCGGTGGGGAGAGCGGGGGGCATATGTGAGGGGGGAAGAGGAAGTGAGGGATAAACTTCGGACAAACAAGGATGAGCGTCCGGGAACAGGAGATGAGTGAAGTGAGTGAAGTGAGAAGTGAAGTGAGTGAAGTGAAGGGGGAGGGCAGGACCTTGTAGAGCCATACGAGGACGAGAGAGCCCCGCAATTGGTGGTGGTGCTGGTGGTGGCAGTTGGCGAAGGTAAATTTGAGGAAAGCGGAGGACAGGAAGGGGGAATTGCAGGCAGGCAGGTAAGAAGCAAAACCGGTTGACTGACGACCAAGGGGAGGTGATGGGAAGGGCCAGGGTACGACAACCAGGACGAGCTTCGCCTTCGTGAGGAAAACGCGTGAGTTGGAGAAAACGCACGGGACCAAGTACGACACGGAAACTCTGTTACACAGAGGCACATATACATACGCGCGCGCGGCAAAGGACACCATCCGAAATCCTGCATCGAAACAACCAAATGGCAAATGCCTTACTTGACACCTAAACAAAGTTTAACACAATATAAAGCAATATAGAGTACGCAAAAGGGTACAAATAAGGGGTTGTGCACCACCGTGCGCCGTGCCACTTCTCTTCCCCCCCCCCCCGATCCCCGCTCGCCTCCTCATAATTGGCCGCCTTCACAATACGGCACTTCCCGGATATGCACCCTGCGTGTACGACACAATCACGGCAAGGAAGAGAATCACATGCAAGAAGAAAAAAACAGCTTCCTGGAACTTTTTCCTCCACTATGCATAGCACGCAGTTGGAAGGGAGGAGGATCGTATGCGCGGCAGGGAGAGATGAGTACATTTGTGTGTATACATGTATATATGTGTATATGTGTATGTATGTATGTTGCGTGGGGCAGCAGCAGGAACGTGTGTCACCACGGGGTTCACAGGGGGCGGCCGAGGGGTGGGTGGGGCCACAGAACATCGACACCACCCGCTGCCGTTGGTCGGTTCTAGCCGGCAGACGCAGACGCAGACGCGAGACACTGAGAAAATGAACAAACACAGTCCAAGAATAAATGCACATAACGGCAATCGCTGCCGCTTTCCAAGTGCAGTTAGTTGCAAGACACAACGTGCGTTCGCCATTCCATGTCCCATATAATCACTCCTTAAAAAAACAAATAGCCCGGGAAAATAAAATTTGTTTTAGAATTTTACGTGCACTACCTGCGCGAAATGGTACCGTACCCAAGCACGGCGCGCTAGCTAAGAGCGGGCCCATATGCCGTGGTATGTATAGGATAGGCGATGCACAAGCTGCGAATCTCCGTCCTAGCAAGGAAGAATGACTCCCCCAGATGTATATATGTATGTATATATGTATGCGTCTTTCTGTTGGCCCCTCACTCTCACTTGTCCACCCAGGGCAGGAGGGGCGGATTTCGCGTTCCCGGTACAGTAGATAGAGATACGCGTCGGCAAGCGGTCAACAACATTTTTCAAACAGTACAACTGAATCGCGCCCATACGCGCCATGGTGCTTCCTTGGGCGCCATGGTATTTTTGCGCGTGGTGATCAGCGACACGCCGATATCCATGTAGTGCCCAGACACGCACCGATGGGGTTTATGTCAGTATCTTCAAGCTCAAACACCTCTCTCTCGCTTTCTTCAATGCCTTTGGTGGAAGGCTCCAGGTTAACCCGCCGCTCAAACCATTTCACCTTTCAGGACGCGAGATCAAACATGTCAGCACATGTCCGGCGACATAACTGCTTCAGGAATAACCGTTACCCGCTTTTGTAACGTACCTCAATGCAATGTGGATCAGCACCAGACTGAACGTTCCGGTCGACGAACGCTGCCAGAATGCGAGCTATATAGGGAGGGAACTGCTCGTCCTCCGGATACAAGTAAACACAATCCCCCACATGATAGGTTTGATCATTTAAGGTGAAGCTGTTGTAGTGAATTCGATTTTCCTGGACCTGCGAAAGCGTAGATAGCTTATTAGGCACCATGAAACATACTGCGCTCGACTATTAAAGCTATTCAAAGATAGCGAATCTCCCAATTCATTGCACCATGCAAGCGCCTGCCGCTGTATCAATGTGCTCTGTTGACACGACGTTCATGCTAGTCACTCACAACGAACTAGCAAGCCCTAAACAAAAGACCGACCCCGTAGGCACTCACTTCGCCATGACCAGCCCAAACGAAAAGCTGCAATGTCATTTCTGTCCGCGGTCACGCTCCTGATGTTGGCTTTTGCATAATGAAAGCCCGATCGCAGCTGCCACGGCCACCAGCACGCTGCTCCTGAGACCACAAATACTTAATGCAACTAGCTTGATAATGGTTATTTCCAGAGCTACTACTTAAAGGACGCCTATGATAACACAGGAAAAAGGAAAATTTGTGTGATCGGCTCAATGTTTGTGGTTCGACACACGCCTTAACTACCCCAGCAAGTTGTGACCACCCCACATGCAGATGGGTTGAGCTCGCAGACTGTTTTTGGGAAGGTTTTGCCAATGCCAGCCGCTGCTCCAGAACCAATGGGACAATGATGTACGACAAATAACATCGCATCTTCGCATAGACCTTGAAAGGGTTCTGTCCTGCCTAGCTGCTTAGCCAATAGATTGAGACTGGTGCTTTACAGTCTTACTCACTCTATCCGTTTCTTTATCCTCCGCACAACATTAGTAGTGCTTGGCTGCAACAATTCGTTAGTCGCTCGCTTTACATACAGTTTTCTATGGACTGACGAACAGCACTTGATTTTATGCCAAAACACTGACTATGCACTCTTTTGCCAATCATTGTCACACGACGGCCGCGCTCATAAGAAGTTCGTCTAAGTTGGGCAATTTGCACATCGTGGATGCTCAAATAAGGATGGCACAATATTGCCCACGGTCGATGTTTAGAGTGGCGTCTAGCCTCAGCTTGGCGTCCTTGGGAATTTCGCATCGCAGACCATTATGCGGCCCCCCGCTATTATGATAATTAACACAATACAGGATTGTCCAGTGTAATTTTAGCAAACTGAATTACTGGCTATTTGTGACCTTATTTATACCTGCACCGAGCCTCCCTCAAAATGCTGATGGCTGAAAATACGACACAAAAACCGTGTGAGGAAACCCCGTTGACTGTCGTTTGTTGACGCACCACCATAGTATTATTATTCCATCATGATACCTTAAAACTGCATTTCGCTGTAGCAAAGCAGTAATTTGCCGCAGTGGTACGACTTCCGTTGTACAACTGTGCCTAGCTAAGCATCAGGCAAGCCTGCTCGAGGTCATTCGCGGTCCAAACTCACGGGAATGGAAGGCGAGTTTCCCAGGTCCACCCGCCTGTCCAGCATCTGGCCATCCGCAGATATTCTTACACTCCAGACAGCCTAGCAGCCAGGCAGACAGCCAACCGAACCGTGGCAGCCGTGTCACCGGCAGTCCTATGGAACAGCGACAATGTCGGTCCAGCCTGGTCCAGCACGCTATGCAAGGTGCAGCGGAGGCGTTGCGCTCCAGGCTCGTCACAATTTTAAAAAAATGAAAAGAGCCAGCCGCTGAAAAGACGCCCCCAAAACACCGCGAAAGTGTCGTTAAAAACAAAAGAAAGCGACACAGCGATGAAAACTCCGATTGAAGCCGACCTATCCGACTAGATAAAGATAATCAAGGCGCTACCATGCCCCTCCCAAGAGGTGCTCACCTCTTTCAAGATGCATCGTGCTCATCTCCGCGCATTTCTTCCCACCTTTCTCCTTCGCATAAGCCCCTCCTCCCTTGCCTCGGCCCCCTAACCTAACACCTGTGTGGGCCCGTCCCATCACTTTTTGAACATCACCCAAATCAAAAAGTCCAACCCATCGAAAGAAGAAGGGGCTCTTACCATACCTGACCACAAGGCCACGAGCCCGTGCGACTTGGAAAAAATGAAGTGCAATGTCATCTGCTTGCAAACGTACCACTTCACTACTACCAGCAAGCCCAACGGGGGTCCTCACGCATCGGATGCGGGTGCATGGTCAGGCCGCGGATTGGTCGGTCTCAATTGACGCTCCGACGAGGTGACGGTTCCGAAGCTCAAAGCCTGATGATGTTGCTGCTGCTCCTGCTGCAGCTGCAGTCGACCAGACCCACCCCACATTCTTGCAATCTGCGTGGGATGGCGAGCACGATGCTTGCTGTTGGATGCTGCTAAGCGGTCACCTGTCCACACAAACCCAAACACACGCGCACGCGCACGGGCACGGCAAGGTACACTGTTGAGGAGGAAAGGCCCCTCCCCCCCCTTTAGGAGTCGCCTCTTGAGCCGTACCTGAGTACTGCTTCCGCTCCCGCTCCGCGCGTATTCCAGAGGGACGGCTGGAGGTAGGTGCTATTCAACTCCAGTTGCCAGTTGCTCCCCCAGCGAGGCACACACACACACACACTTACAATTACACACACACACTTACAATTACACACACACACTTACAATTACACACACACACACTTACACACACACACACACTTACACACACACACACACACTCTCTTACACACACACGCGCACGCGGGATTCACATTCGCGGTACCCGATAGCGCTAATAAGCTTTGGTCAGCAACAGATCTGGTCAACAACACTGTGTGCGTATACGTGTGCAGTTGCTAAAATTGCCAAGATGCACGGCCTGCCCGCATCCCCTCACCTTCAAGAGGTCGACCCGCTGCCGGGGTGTGGCTCCGGCCATTGGGGGACCCCCGGGCGACCTCGACGACACAGCCGACGACAATAAGGCCCAGGCGGCCTCATACTCCCCACCATCACCACCACCACCACCACCGTTACCACCACCATCGTCACCAAGGCGGTGATTGCCGCTGCCGGACTGCAGCTGCGGCGGCGGAACGTAGCAGTATTGCTGCAAGGCCGCGAGTGCACCGGCAGCACTCAGAAGGTCCACGGCGCCGAAACCACTGCAATGCAACGTCGTACACATGAAAAAGTTTGATACGCTTCGCAAATCTCCTTTTCACATATTGCGGTATACGCAAAGTGCCTCTATCGCCGGACCTACCTGGCTCATTGTGAGAATAAATTAAAAATTTTGCCTCCGCGATTGATTAATATGCCGGGCGGCGAATGTGGCACATCATTGTGAGGTTACCTTTGCTCGTCCTAAGCGTTGCACGTCCTAGACGTACGTCAAGGTACGACACTCACTAAAAACGTCGCCGAATGCACTCCTTGACGGCGCTCCGCGCCAGGGCCGCCAGCGCGTCTGTGGTGCGGCCGCCAAGATGCCCTTCAAATTCAGATCCATTTGGTACCTGCGGCCCAGATCCGGATCCGAATCCGGATCCCGCCGCAGCTGCAGCCACGGTGGATCCTGCTCCTGGCCCCAGGGGCAGCCGCCGGACCCCCTCCACTGAACGTTCCGGACTGAGCAGCACCGCACACGAATGCAGGAGACCTGCGCTACAACCGGGGGTGACCGGGAGCAGGAATGGACGGAACTCGGGTGAATGGTCTCAGGATATGTAGGGGGTGCGTGAGTAAGACCCTCCCCTCCCCTCCCCTCCGCTTCCCAGCCCCTCCAGGCAAAACCACCCACCTACCTGCTAACGTCCGCGGTTCGCAGCTAGGAAGGCAACCCGGCAGTGCTGCGGCGGCGGCAACCGTGGTGGCGGGCGCCAGCTCCAACAGCTTGGCGGCAGTGTCCTGCCCTGAAGCAGCGGCCGCCCGCGCCTTGGCCAGAACCTGAACGAGACGGAGCCGCACGTGTGCGTGGGAAAGCCACAGACGCGCAGCGACCCGTGGGTCGGGCATCCTAGCCCGTGTGGCTCCCTGCGGATACTAGCTCTCCTAGTCCTAACGCCACCCTGGACGCCATTGCGCCCTCCGCTAGCCTCCACCTCCTCCTTCCCATCCTCCACCTCCACCACGTCTCCGTCACTGCAACAGTACCCTGCCACGTGTGTATACATGGCCCTGTAGCACACCTCATTTTACTTACCTACCTTTTTCACCACCACCAGCCCCGCACACAATACCCTTGCAAAATATAAAACACTTTACACCACATCATGGATCGAATCAATAGACATCCCATAGACCGCCCCATCACCCCCACACGCCACACCTGGAGCAGCATGGCAGTGGCGATGGGGTTGGGCTGAGATCGCAGCCGCTCAGCTCCGTAGTCCGCAAACGCCGACACCAGGGGCACCAGCGGCGGCTGCCAGTATCCCAGCGCCACGAGGCTCCAGATGAAGCTGGACAACTCCCGGGATCCGAAACCCTACTCGTACATCACATCCGGAAGGGGTGGGGTTGGGTGGAAGAGTGCGAGCGCGCGCACGCGCGCGCGTGTGTGTGTGTGTTGCGGGGAGGGAGGGGTAATATGACTGGTTGGAATTGTAAGTTTCGAAAGGTCCACGAGGAAACAACTCTCTGTCTACAGCCTCCTCAGCAGCAGCTGCCAGCTGGCGGGCCTCCACCCCCTCCCTCATTTCGGTCCCCAGCCCCCAGGCCCCTCCCGCACACCTCTGGCAGACGGCCATTAGCTGCCCTGACCAGCCTCTCCACCAGCTGAGCGAGCTGGAGCTGGTGGGGCCGGAGGGGCTTCTGGGGGTTAGGGCAGGGCAGGGGAGGGGGAGGGATTGCACGATGCCGCGCAAGTCAAGTCAAGAAAACAGCTGCCGAGACATGCGAGGGAGCGCCGACTGGCTCCGGAGCTTGCCAAGACCAAGAGAGTTCACCAACGACGAAAAGGGCGACCATATGGCCCCCCGGATTTACATACACTGTGTATGATACACACCACAAACACACCACACCGCAGCCAGGGATGCGCCCCGCAAAAGGCCCGCCACCCTTTGCTCCACTCAAGCCATAAATCCCCATTCCATCCTCCCTCCCGCGCGCCGCAACACAGTTCCCGCGGGCCCCCCCCAGGAAGTGTTCCCTGTACCCCTTCCGGAGAACTTGAGACTAAAACTTCCCCGGCCCCATCCCCCTCTTTGCCTCTGAGCCCAGCAGTCGGTCCTTGCTTTGAACTTGGGCAGTTGTGCAGTTCCCTCAACTCCTTACACCTTTCTTGAATTGAAAAATTCCCTCAGGCGGCCGAATCCCCCTTTTTTTACCCACCGGCTGGGCGTTGCACCCCTCTCCCCTCCTCTTACTTCCACGACCACAGCGTAGTTGTAGGCGCCTCCCGTCACCACCCTCCGCCGCACAGGCGCAGCAGCCGTCACGTTCCTCGGCGGCGCCGCCGGAAACTGTACGGCTGCACGACCGATCCCACGGGACCTCGGGAATGTTTCCTTTCGCCCCTTGCCGCCAGCGTCAGCCAGTAAGCGCGTCTCCAGCTCCCGTCCGCTTCCAGAAGCATCTCCTGTGCTACCGCTACGCCTGTCCTCAGAGCCCCTATCGGACCCACCACGGTCAGGAGGAGATTGGAACAGAACTTGTGGCGATGACGGTGACGGCAGTAGCCGCAGTCGCTGCATAATGCGAATGGCAGCGGCGGCCCGCGGCTGCTCGCAACGCCACAGCGTCACGGCCCGTCGTGCTGCCGCCGCCAACTCCTTAGGGCTCCACGTCGCCACCTCCGCCGCCGCGAGCTCGCCGAGCTCCTGCATGGTGGACGTGGGGGCGGTGTAATGTGCGGCGTACGGTATAGTGTACGGCGAGTGTACAGTGTACGGTGGTCGTGTTTCGTGCACACGAAGGTTGTGTCGTTCAGCATTTCCCCAACAATCGGTGCCCCCCCGGCGCCCCCCAGCAGTAGCCACCGCCTCTCAGTTCTCCTCGGAAACGTGTCACCCTGACGCCCTCAGACACGGACGCATTTTGCGCTGACAAAGTCCTCAGATGATGCCCCACATTTGCGCTGATATGGGATCCTATGAACTCTATGGACCCCTTGGTGACTGACTGCAACATTCAGGACATCGCGGGCCATCTGGAGGTAGATCGCACCCGCAAAGTCGCGGTGTTCATGATCTTGCGGGAAGGCTTGAACCGTGGCCATCGCCGGCGCCACCGGGGTTGCTGCTCTCCGCTGCTGCCACCGCCGCCATTGCTCCTGTCGGCCCCGGCGTATTGGCTCGCCCGCGTGTGTTTCAGCATCATCGGCTGTGGCCGCGGCAGTGAAGGCAGGATGGCCTGGATAGGGACATCGGTTGAAACCGCAGCAGCTCACCACATTATATGGGCAAGTGTTTTGCGGCAAACAAGGTCATCTCAAAATCGTCGTGGTGCGGACCGTGTGCGGCCGTGTCGGCAACGAAGGCGGGGGGTTTACCTACCCATCGAGACAAAGAGAAAGGTCTCAAGGCACCGGTATGACCAGGGATATGATGGCTCGCTAAGAAGCAGAAAGGGAATGAAGCTGTAGAGGGCTGCGTGAGGTCGCTGCTGAAGGCCCTATCTAGACAACCGACAGGTGACGGCACGGATGTGAAGCTGCAAAGCCGATACTCAACATCTACTAAGGATGCTACGCAGATTCCTTCAATCGGCCCCCCAACAGTCTGTTCAGATATGTTCTGGAGCTCCCGAGCAGTGCAAGATAATGCTCGAGTTGCTGATAAACAGACGGCTTCGAAAGCCTTCCTTTTGAGCATGGCAAGTTTGTTAGGGCTCAACACCATTGGATTGTCGCATGTTTGCCAAGACCACAACGGAACATAACGAACCAATTATGATGCATAACGTCGCATGTGCTACAGACTTAGTTGAAAGACACTTGCATGTGAGCAGAATACTTGTCCTAAAATAGGTAATCATACCGGTGTAGTGAAACGCAGACAAAATGATAGGCGCCCATGTACGGCGTGCTGTGCTGTGCTTTTCATTATCGTCATGACCAATTAATAACACGTAGATCCTGACATTTTCACATGCTAAAGGCATTTGCGTGCTGAGGAGAGAGCGGTAGTTTGCGCTGTCGCCCGAAAATGAGGTGCGATGAAAGCCTTCCCCACACAGCTTAAGCTTAACGATACCTGATCTGATCTATAATAATGCATCAAAAACTGCTGCCAGGATGCTCTTTGTGGGATTTGGCGTCGGTGTTGCGGTGGGCGCCGGAGGATGTTACCTATACCTGTCAGCGGTCAAGCAGCCTCAGGACAGACGTGGTAAGCCAGGCGCATCTGTCGTTGACCTCCGCTGGGTTTAGCCGCTTCCCGTACCAACAGGAATCCACGCGCATTTACCTGCGCCGTGGTAGCCTGCCGTACCTTCCCTCAAGCTTTCTTGTTGACCCGACCACCCAACCTATGTTCAGCGCAACATGGCCAATACGAGCAAGGACGCTTGCCTGCAGGACCGATATGAGCGCTAGCGTCCCCAAGTGCTCCACACTGCGCATTCCGTTCAAATCTGTCCAGCTGACCAGCGAGTGATTTTTCACGGCAGCCGTGATACCGTGACCCGGGTTTCCCCTGACCAATCCCCAGGCACCCCATTATTGGCTCATAGACTTACTACCCCACCTGTACTGCTTGCAGTACACGTGCACGGAATTCCTACTCCAGTTGCACAGGACCATATGTGCGTGTCCGGCAGCCTTTCCAATAGGCTTGCTTTTCATTTTTTATGTCATTTCGATGTTCGCACATCGCTACACGTCCCGCCGGCCCCAGCCCCAAAGGCCACCCCCAGGACCACTTGCAGCGCGCAAAAACTATCCAAAACACTCCTTCACGCACGACGGTAATGCTGCCGTTTTCCCCCCCCCACCCTCGAGTCTTTCCCCCCGAGTTGGCACTTTTGTTTCTTATTAGGACGTCTGGGCGACCACAGTTGAGTCGTGTCATTGGAATGCATGATGATGATTTCCTTCCTTCCTCTGCCATACTGCTCTCTGTGTTGGTCGCCCCGACCTGCAGCGGGCCTTGGCATCAGCTTGGTGGAGGGACACCACGCCGCCAAGTTCGGTAAGAAACCATTCATTAGACCATTCGTTCGGAATTAGGAGTCCGATTCCGGATTAAGGGAGTTGAAATCCGATTTGGGAGTCGGGTTGGGGCTTGAATCCGGGTAAAAGGCAATCGTGTAGTCGGGCTTGAAGTCGGGTATCGACATTCGGCACGCCGCTGCTCGCTGCTGTGGGGGGAAGGCAGGGGGAAGCGAGTACCGCGGCTTCGAAGACGGGTGGGCTCTCCTCACTGCGCTCTGCAAACGGCGGTATTGTGATGATCGGCGATTACGTTGTTGACATGAAGCGCAGCAGCTCTTGGTGAGAGGCGTTAGCTCGCATTAGCGTTAGCATCACACGGCATCTCTGTCTGTCTGTCTGCTTGTCGGTCAGTCAGTCAGTCTGTCAGTCTGTCTGCCTGGCGTGCTGACTGTCGTCGGCCCAGTCAGGCGGTAGAGAGTCTCAATGCCCTAAGGCCCTTGGCATCACGTATTGGCAAGGCTGGATGGTGGTGGCGATGACGATGGCAATATTGGTGATGAGGTTATGGCCCGTGAATCTCGCAGGCGCACCAGAGACCGAGATATTACGGCAGTACGAAGGCTACGTTGCGGCGTACGACTACCGTACACGGAACCCCAAGTGGGTTCTGGAGCACATCACCAGGGCCTCTTCCAACGGAGATGCCAAAAGGTGTGCTGGAGGGGGATATTGGGGGTGTGAAATGCTTGTGTGTGTGTGCGCTCGTGTTATCGTCATGATTATCATTATCATCTTCATCATCATATACATGATCTGCCCACCCTTCCCCCTGCCGGCCATGAATGACCTTACACGTCATCCTCCCCCCTTCCAACCCCGCTCTAGGGAGGGCTCGGAGTTCTTCCCGGACCCGGGGATTGACCCAAGGTTCAGTGCCAAGCTGAGCGACTTCCGCGGCTCTGGGTACGACAGGGGCCACATGGTACGAGCGTACGACACTGGGTGGAAGGGAGACTGCTATACACGAAGCAAGGGGCGAGGATTTGGTGTCCTATTTAGCGATAAGAGAGAGGCTCCGTTGCGAAAAAAGATCCACTAATTGCGTGTCATGGGATCCGAACATTTGAAAGCCGCAGTGGGACGAATGCTTGAATTTCAATTGGATTTGGATCGGTTTTGAATCGAATTTGAACCAGATGCGACTCGCGGGAGCACACAATAGCACACATAGAGCGTTCCCTTTTCCCCGCCGTATCCGCGATTGTTGACGGTTGACGGTTGACCCTGTCCTCAGACACCCGCTGCGGACCACAAGTCTAGTCAGAAGGCGATGGACGAGACATTCAGCCTCATCAACATCAGCCCGCAGGTGGGTTCGCGTGCGTATGTATGTATGTATGTATGTATGTATGTATGTATGTATGTATGTATGTATGTATGTATGTATGTATGTATGTATGTATGTATGTATGTATGTATGTATGTATGTACGGACATGTGTATGGAGCCGGCGAGGATGGTGCACGGGTAACTTGTGCGGAGACATGGCAGCAGTTGGTGCTTTGGTCGCCATCAGGGGCAGCTGAGGCCTGCCTGGACTTCCTCCTGGATGCATGGTTTTCCCCCTCCCCCTCCCCCTCCCTTGACTCCCTGCTTTTTGCATGTATTTCCCCCCCCTCCCCTGCCCTCCCTCCTCACTTCTTTCCTTACCTACTTCTGGAGTATCAGTCTATCTTGGCATCAGCTTCACTCGATCACGTGGTTCGTCGTCTTCCCCGCTCCTCGTCCCTCTCCGGGCCTTACTCGCTTACTACCCCTTGCATGTTTCCTACAAACTGGGAACTGGGAACACCCCCCGACCCCCCCGTCTGGTAAACTCTTGCCCTGGCAGCACCTTCACTCGTTCGTGGTTCGTCTTTCCCCCCTGACCCCCCTCGTACCCCCATCCTCTTCCTCATTCTTATTCTCCTTCAGGTCGGTGCGGGTTTCAATCGGGACTACTGGGCCAGGTTCGAGCGCTTTGTCAAGGAGCTGACGTGTAAGATAGGGAGGGAAGGGGAGGGGAGGGAAAGTGGGGGGGGGGAAAGAGGAAGTGGGTAGAGAAACACCGGGGTCGCGTGACCCTGATGAGAGCAACTCATAGAGCGCATCACACCCCACGTGCCTGTACGGCCTGGTTGGTGTGTACGAAACAAAGATGCAACTGTGTTATTGTGTATGTATGTGTGTGCTCTTATGTGGGATCTGATCCTGGTGTACCTGCCGCCTGGTGCAGATGCCGCTGCGGACGTGTACATCGTCACGGGACCGCTGTGGCTACCCACGCAGTCGCCGCCGCTGCAGCAGCAGCAGCAGGATGGCGATGGCGGGGGCGGGGGCGGCGGTGGTGGGGAGGCGAGTGGCAAGGCCAAGGGAGGCAGATGGACGCTCGTACACGACTGGATTGGTACGGCACCTTGACATGATTTTATACCAAGTGATTTTACTTAGAGTTTACTTTATTGATACAACTATGTTTGTTGAGGATGTTTCTAGAAACCACGATTTTTCAAAATTAGAAACTAAGACCAATTTTGCTTTTACTTTTCCGATTTCGAAATATTTCTGACAGCCTTCTGCTCTTGGGCCCCCTCATGGGCCCCGTATGCTTGTATGGGCCCTCGCTAATGCACCTTGGACTTGGGTTACGCAACTCCAAATAGAAGGTGGTGGTGTGACACGTGCATACGTACATACGTACATCATTATTGCCTAAGAGCGCTTTGAGCTTAGTAAATAGGGCAGGGCTCGGGCGGGGTGTAGGAGTTGAAGGGGGATAGAGGTTGGAGGTAAGGGGATAGGAGAGAGGAAACCCCGAGGCGGGAGAGGGGGAGGAGTAGGGCGTGGAGTGGAGAGGGTCACGTAGCGCGGGGAGGAATCCTTTTTCCTCCCCAGTGCTGCTCCGAGGTTGTAGGGTGTTGGAGAACCGGGGGGAGGTGGGGTTGCGCGGGTATGGGAGGGGGCAAATGGCGGTGAGAGCGCCAAGAGGACGTAGGTTTACTGGGGTTAGGGAGGTTGAATTCTGGTGGTAGCAGCGGGGCTCGGATGAGGGGAAGTTGTGGCCCGAGGAGGACCATTCTACTTAGGCACGTCTTCTTTGCGGGACTGGGTTGCTTGGCGAGGGGCGAGGGTGGGAGCGGTGCAATACGAGGCAGGGTGAGTATGTTCTGGAGGACCAGCCGTTCCGGTTTAATGATGGTAACGGGGAGGCGCCGCGCGGGCTACAATCCTCCCCCTGCGGTATTCTGGAGGGCTTAGGAGCTGTGTGTCGTGGCTACGTTGTCCCGTTTGTGGTCTCGCCGGTCTACCCCGGGCACCTGCAGTGGTGATTGGGCTTGTGCGTGGTCCTTTTTCTTTGGTTGGTTACTTCTCCCCTGGACCAGCCCAGGAAGGGAGAGGTACAGGAGGTCAGTTGTTGTAAGGTGGCTGCAAGACGTCTTGTGGTGTCGAGCTCTCTTAGCCTTTCTCTCTTGGAGGCTTTCCTTTTTTTGGCTCTCCCCTGCCTGGGCTACCCTGGCCGTCTTTTTCTTTTCTCGGTTTTTCTTCCCTTTGTCTTTGGTTGTGTTGTGGGGGTTTGTTCCAGAGAGCCTTTGCTTTTACCCTAACTGAGACTTGTGGACCCACTCTAGCGGGACCTGAGAGCCCTTCGTGGTGTATTCACTGCAGCGCCATCCCCGGATGGACGGGCTGCGGAGTGGCTGCGTTGTGTGTTGGCAGTCTGAGTCGGGGTCGGGAGCACACAAGACTAACCGACGTGTGCTGTGTGCTCCCGACCCTTGCGCTGTGTTTCGGCTTCGGCCCCCGGCTCTCGCGGCCCACAGTGTAATGTAAGTCATACATACATACATGCATGCATGCTTGCATACTTGCATACTTGCATACACAAGTTCAGTCAAGTTGAACGATAATGGCGTCAAATGTCCATTTCCTTGCATTCGTTTTTGCCGTTTCATGGCCCGCAAAATCTTCCGCTTCCACTACCTCCAAAACTGGCTGCCGTACAGGCAAACCGCCGGGTCTGGTTGCCGTACCCACTCACTACTACAAGGTTGTGCTAGCTGACCCTCGAGGGGGGGGAGGCGGTGAGTACGGAAAGGGCGCGACGCCACGTGACCCGCCGTCGCCGCTATCCAACGGTACGGTGGCGGTTGGCGCATTTGTCATGCCCAACCAACCTATCGATGCGCGCAACCCGCTGACGGCCTACGTGGTGCCGTTGGACGACCTGGAGCAGGTGGGCGTTGGAAGTTAGGACCGTTGAGGCCGTTTGGAGTTGTTTGGGGAGCTCGGGTTTGCACGTCTTTTCCTTTTCCTCCCCCACATATGTATGCTGTCCCGCATACCCTCACAGGTCCCCTGGGATCACAGACTTGACCTCTTGTTTAACAATTCCCCCGCCGCCTCCGCCTCCTCCGCCTCCCCCTCCAACTCCTCGCTTTAATGTCGGGGCCGGGCCTTTCTGGATTTGTCCTGCCTACCCCCTCACACTTCGCTTACCACTGACCCGCACATCCTCTTCCCCCTACACCCACCCCCCCTCACCTTCTCCACCCTCTTCACCTCATTTCTCTCCCAACCCCTCACCTCCCCACCAAGGTGGCTGGCACCAAGTTCTTTCCCGCGCTCCTTGACGAGCCGCGTCGCAGAGCTGCTCTGGATGCAGCGGCGGTGGGGTGGCGGCAGGAGGGGCTGGCGCAGCTGAAACCATTTGAACGGATCAGCATGAAACAGGTGTCTCTGTGTGTCTCTGTGTGTCTGTGTATCTGTGTGTGTATGTGTCTGTGTGTGTCTGTGTGTGTGTGTGTCTGTCAAAATCTATCACCTTTCACCTTTATGTCCTCTCCTCCATCCTTGCCCAACTCATGCGGCAATATCCGAATCCGATTCCGGTTCCGGTTACAAATTTTCGGTTCTGACTTAGATTCCCTTGTCTTCCAATCTTTCCAAATTCATTTCCATAAAATTTCGGTTACGTGACGTTACATGCACAGGCATATGCTGCACTGCCGGCACCCACGGACACGGATGCCAGCAGCACGCAACCTCCTCAGGTTACCTCTCCAAAGGCACCACCCGGTAACGCCTCCTCCTCCTCCTCATCATCATCATCATCGCCGCCGCCTGCGCCCAAGACACCACGGGGTGCGGATGTGGTGCACATTTGCGACGTGAACGCATGCCAACTCCCCAGACCAGACTTTTACTTACCGGCAGGCTCCGGAACTAAGAGCCGTAGCAGCAGCAGTACTAGCAGCCAGCGGCAGTAGCAAGGCGAGTAACATCGTAACAGGTTGAACACACACGTCGCCAATCCTACCAGACGTCGCTGGTGACTATCTATTCGGAGCTCTCGCTTCTTGGTGTGATGAAGTTGTACCACCGTGTACCACCACCCCTTTCGACATTTCCCTCGTCGCGGAGCTCCGGAAATCGATCATTAAAACACGCATATGTGGATTTCGTTTCGCGGTACCGGTGGTAGTGTAGTATCGGATGAGCACACGATTGTCCAGTTGCGCCAATGGTGGTGGCGATGTGAAATGCGTAACGTATGGGTGCGTGCAACACACACTGTACGGCATACTTGGTAATGTACGGGAGCTTATTCCTGGTTGTTAAGAGCAGAGTGTGCCCACCGCCTTAATATGTTTGCTACTGGGCGTACTGTATATGTGATGGCGCCTCCTTTGCTGCGGGGCATGGCTGGGTTGCGGAAGATGGGCTGCGAATACCTTAAGCTGACAAATATTACACTATATTAACCCCCTTAGTCCCCGTGGCCTGGAAAGCACCTACCGGGGCTGCTTGGGTGGCTAACTATATTTATTAGGCGTGTTTGGTTTTCCGGCGGACCCGCTGATCCAATGGGGGACCCATCAAGACAACAGCTGATGCCCTAGCCATGTGCAAGGGTGTGGGCCGTCAAGTGAGTCGTGAAATCATCTTGACGACCTAACGAAGTTTCAGCGAGAATGACGGTTAAGAGTTCGTTTAGCATGTAAGGCCCAATCTGAAAGATATCAGCTGATGCTTGAGTTGTTGGCGCCGTCATGGTGGGCGTGCGAGTGCGCGAGTGAAGATGGGTGGGGCGATGGGGAACTTGTGCAAGTGCCCGACTCTTCCTAAACAATGAAAGAGACACCGCGCGCGCGCGTTTTGTACACACGACGGCTGCACCGTAGGTAGAACTCGTTCAGCTAGGAAATCAGCTACATTAGACCTTTGGATCATGCCGCCACTGATATAAGACGGCTCCCTGATGGCTTTTTAAGGAAAGGCCGCAAATCACAGGATCACATCATTTCTGCACAGGTCTCCACCGCTGTTCTGCTTTCTCAACCTTCCTTTTCACTGCTTTCCATTTGGAGGTCTCCACTAAAGCTGTCTACAGATAGAGGAATGTTTTGCATCAGGAGTTGCTCCGTAGCTTGTAATGCATCTTGCCATTCCACCACTTTGTTCGTTGTTGTTACAGGGTGGTTCAGCTTCACCAGTGGCCTCCTTCCGGAGGCAGTTCCCTGCTCACTCCTGCTAGAGGGGCACCCTAATCCGTCACCCCATCCGATTTCAGAATGTATTCGTTGGGTTCGGCAACTCACCACAAGTATCCAACCAAATCTAGCGGATCAACGGCGCCACAACTGAGTCTGGTCAGCTCGCGAGCTGCTATTATCACGTCCTACATCGTCCATAAGATGGGGGGCCAACTCCCTTTCCAACACCCCTCACACATCGAGAGGTTGGCATGTAGATTTGAACCCGGGTCCTCTGGGAGCAGAAGTCAGGCCCTATCCTCTGCCAGCCACCTGCCTTTGTTATATGGCCATCCAACTTTTGGCGGTTGTGGGGAATATTCGAGAACACGTGCATGCATGATGGGCGTGCTGGGCGGTGCGTTTTGTGAGGCGATAGTCCAGCCAGTGTTAACACAGGCGCCTTGGATCTTGGTCATGCACTCTTTCCTGCATGCCCTTTACCCAATGTACAATCGCATGTGTCTGCTCATGTCCCAGGAGGGGGGCCTTAATTAGGGGGAATCGTTTTACCATCAGATGTTCAGCGCATCATGACAGTGTAGGCATATCTCCCCCCAGTTGAGGATGTTGATTTTCATCTGTTAGCTCCTAATGCGTGGTGTGGGAATTTCCCTCTCTGGGGAAACCCTGTTCTCCTGAAAAAGAGATTGAGTGTCCCGTCAGTTAGCATCCACCCAGGGCGGAGTATAGACACCACGCACTCCTGGGCTGTAAGGCTCTGGAAACGTTGGGGAATGTTCTTCCTTGCGCAGAATGATCTAGATGTGGTTATGTACACACCGGACCAGGCAGGGCTAGCAATGCGCAGGGCATGGCATCAAACAGTGGACCAATACCTGTCCATTCACAGCTCTCAAAAGTACAGCAAATCTTTGAGGCGCCGCCCATAACGAATATCCATGAATAACGTATTTCAAAAGTATGCTTATCATTTTTTGCATGAACTGACTCGAATCTTTGATCGCAAGGGAAGGGGGAAGTTTTTGTAGGTTTATTTGAAATCGTTGAAAAAAACCGTAAAACCCATAGAACCCTCATGCCATTTTTTAGTTTTAGTTTTTCAACTGCAGGACCACCGTCCATATCGTTTTGTAGGTAGTCGGATGCTGCATGCTGTCGGATGCTTCATACTTGAGTTCCTGCAGGCCGTGTACGACATTCACACAACAGCATCTGCGGTATGAAAGCTGAACCTTATCGGGACTGACTAAAACTGGCAGCAGTATTATCATGTCGGCTCTCTGTTGCATTATATCCATTGCGAGATGTTTTCCTTATTTAATTTGCATTTGTAAGGCGTCATACGATGAGGTGGCAAACCCCTTTGGTGACAGCCAGGGTGTAGGGCTGCAGATGCAACCTGTCGTACCGTGTTACACAACTCGTGTATTCATATGGGCAGTGCTACAATGTCATCTAATTCGAGTTTGAATATGTGGGGATAGACGAACACCTGGAACGGCTTAAAACCCCAGAATGTGATCCGTACTTACTTTGTGCAGCATTGTGTACGAGTATATGAGTGGCCTGTTAGACAGGAGCCCTACCGTGTGTTGGCTTAGTTAGGAGTACGACACATCTTGTTGCCGGTTGGTGCACCTGCTGACTGTTGGGGTGACATGGTTCAGAACAGTTCGAAACCTATGCATTCTCTAGGGTCAGAGGATGAGGAATATTCATCAGCTGTGATACAATAGATTAGATACTGGCAAGTACTGGTTACACCAGTAAAAAAACGCAGTGACACATGCCATTTTGATACCTACATACTGCCAGTCATCAGCAACGTTGCTGGTTAACCATCTGAACATGTGCACACTTTTACTCATCTGCCCAACCCAACACAACAGTACATACTAAAACACCTAGCAGACACTTCCTTCAGAAACTGCACCAGATTGCCTATTTGGGCAACCCCACAGCTTGCCTAACCAACTAGCAATTGACATCAGCAGCATTCCATGGCTAACGAAAGGGGCTACTACCACTGCATCAATAAGGACAGTAGCTCGCACACAGTAGCTCAACAAAACATGAAGATCGTGGCCATAGGTCCAAGGTGTCCACAAAGCTGTCCCTTCACCCAGCACAACAATTGTTGTGGTGAGGATGCATCAGGTGCTGCTGTGCAGGTCTTAGTATGTGTGCGTGACACCTTCACTAAATGCTATCAATGCCACTGTAGCAAGCTACATTTCCCTTAAGAATATTTCAACGATTACTTATAACAATAATTCGTTTTGTACATGTGACGAGCCACGTCACATGCATCGAACATGACAGTTGGGGCCCTGGGCCCCACCAACATTATCCTAGTACGGCAAGACCGTGGTAGGGAATCTCTGGCAGGTAGGCCGAGATATAAGCTACCCGGGCGGGGTGCTCTGGCCAGACACTGACGTATCACATCTACTAGGTGTTCGGAGTTCAAGACTCTGCTGCCGCCATCTCTGATTGTTTCATACATGTCTATGTACGCTAGTGCTTGCCGCTGGGTTGGACTTATTCCTACTCCGGTGAGGACAGCCAACACCACGCTTCCGCTTATCCAGTCGACCCGCCAGGTGAGCAACTGCTACAGCCACGCAGAATGTACAACCGGGTGTTGGCTGACCGCTCATGCTTTTTGGGGTCGGGCGGCCAGGCAGCCTCTCGCTCCTCGGCCTTCCTCTTCTTCGTTCCTGCCCGCACCTTAAACTTGTTGTAGACGCTAGGATCCACCACAAAGTAAAGGCTGGGTTGGCGGCCCTCCTGGCCCGGAGCAGAGATGCCGAGTCGCTTGAACACGTCTTCGAGGTCATCAGCATTAATTTCCTTCATAGCCGACACAGTCATCTGGAAAAGGTACATTGCCGGCACCATAAGAGCATCAATGACGGGGAAGTTGGAGGACTTGGGCCTCAAGTATGTGTCCATCGTAGTGCTCATCATACCATGGACCTCATTGTCTGTGAAGATGTTATACTGCTTGCATTCCGGGATATCCAGCTTCTCCTCCTTGCCCCGCTCCAGAGTCTTCGGGTCCAATGGCAACACATCGAACTTGCCGCCAGTCGCCAGTGCAGCATGCATGACTGCCTCAAAGAGGTAGCCCTTTAACACCTTCGCTGCCATTTAGAAGAGATATCAATTCCCCCCTTTCACATTTCCATGCCCATTTGGCAAACTCGACAGCCACCCATTTGGTAGCAAAGTTTAGGGTTTGGTAGCAAAGTTTAGGTACTGCACCTCGAACTTGCGTCAACCACAATATGGATCACGCAATGGCCGACCGAACCTATTGTGATTGGAGCAACCAGGGAGGCAGGTCAGGTCATAGGTGTGTTACAGGTGAAAGGCAGGTACAACTTGCCAAGAAACGAGATGTCTGCAGCAATATGAACATGGAAGGACACAAGAGCTCAGCAGCAATGCAAACATACAGAATCAGTTTCCACTGGATAGAAGGATCATCAACATCAAAACTCAGGCAATGCAGGCGAAAACTGGGTAACGACCTTAAATGACATGAGGCTCAGACAGAGGACTAGCTACACTACAGTGCTTCACCTGAGAAACGTTGCTTGCATCTATGGTGCTGATCAGTGGCTCCTGCAGCTTAGACAACATCCAGTTGGGGTTCTTCAACGGCTGCTCAAGCACATACCGTGCTACACCGCCATAGTAAGTGTAGAGTTCCTCCACGGTCGCCTCTGGCACTGCACTATACATCTTGCTGCGGGCACATTTATGGTGCGAGGGAAAGCAAGTAACAACTTTTACTGTTTACACGTGGGACAAATGGCAACAAGTGCAGTTTAGTTAAGGGCCTAGCTCCCACACCACCCGTCCCACACCCAGCAATACTCAAGGCCAGCACCGCTTCAGGCACCGAAACAAGTGCCATTACCGCCATTGTCGATGACACTTCTGCGGGCTTGTCCAAGGCTTTTGATGGATTAGACAGGGTTCCCACTGAAGCTTACAGGGATCAGAAAAATGTTGCCTCCACTGTTGTGGCCGGTGTCGCAGCTGAGGCGAGGTCATTGCTCGGCATATTCTCTCACCCTCATACTACGTCTGTCAAGGCCTGGCCTGCTCGCCTGGATGGCACCATCTGCTTTCCAGAGCTTGACGACCCGGACTTTGCCGTGCTGGGGCTGGGCGATAAGGCTCTGATAGCCACTACCCTGGGCCTAGGCTGTCTGCACGGCTTGCAGCACCTGGGCTTGCTGAACAGGGTCCGCTACCTCAGCGTGATCTCCGGTAAGTTGCAGTTGCTGGCTAATGTTCCTGCTCCATACAGGGACTCAGCATCACACACACGCACATTGTATCCCTGCTCATCTCATGTGACGGTGTGCGTGTTGAATGCAGTCGGCCAAGTGGCTGGTTTGACTAGCTAGGTAGCTGGCTGTCTACCTACTTGACTAAGTAGGCCTGGTAGGCGATCAACATAGGCACATGCACAGTTCTCGTTTCAAATATATATCATCCAGGCCGGGGTTCACCTGGAAGCGAGGGTACGTGTGGGACAGGTGAAGAGATGATGTAATGCTTGCTTGTTGGCCTGGAAGGAGATGTATGTGTATACATGTGTGTGTGTGTCTATTGCAGCTCGGTTGCATTACTCAGAGAGGTGTAACGAGCCCACCAAACAAGCCAGGTAGGGGCACGCCATTCACGGCGAGACGCCACATGGTCTCCTTGTTCTCATTCTCCCAGCGCACCCCATGCCATAAGCGTGCCAGGGTTGCCTGAAAGCGACTAACCTCGAGCAGCAGGGTAGTCACGCCTACCTCCCGTTTGGCCCACCAGTCTCAATCCACAATCATACAACCACTGATTAACTGAATCCCCACTAAGACTCCGAACCAGATTTGATGGGACATGGTTGGCGTGCCCCGGAAGGCCACAGGCCACCCATACATGTCAGTAACAGGGGGCGGTGTTGGCTAGGCTAAATGGGTCTAAATGGGTCGGAATGAAGGCGACATTATGAAATGCTTTTTCCCATACTCTTAGTGTTTACAGCACCAGTCAACAGCAGCTGCATGCCCTCGTTGTGGGTTTCCCTACCCTTACGCCTACTCCACCATGAAATAGCATGTCAGCACCACCAGCAGCCGCTGCTGGATGCCGCCGCCACCACAACTGGGCACCGCCACTCCTGAGCCCAACCTGCCACTCCGCTGCACGCACTCTCAGTTGAACCTACCCACCCACACAACCAGCCAGGCGACCAGAGTATGCCGCGGTCAGGTCAACAGACACACACAGCAGCCCTGCCTCCCATCCTGGCGACAGGCTAGCTTGCTCTGGCCACCCATCACCACACCGGGTACATTGTCAGCCGGACACTGTATGCTCAGGTGGCTGCTCCTGCAGCCCCCAAGGTCGCCGACAGGTCCGACAGGATGCTGCATATGACTGCACTGGGCACCAGGATGGCTTTGTTTGTACGAGTGTCAGACCCGACCACCATGGCCACAAGCTTGCCGGTGTCGACCGAGAAGCAGCCGCCACCTGAATCACCGGCACCCGCAACAATGTCACCGCGGATGTGGCTGTGCACATCCAGCTCAGTCGCCGCCACCATGCCGTGGCTGATGGATGTGGCGTCCGCTTGCGCCTGCGTAGACTGGCCGTGGACGTAGTACTTGTCGCCAGCCGAGACACCACAGTCCAGCACCGGGGGCACCAGCTTGCACTGCACCTGAAGGTCAATACCAGTGAAGCAATATCACAGGCGGTTGACTATGTTGCGAATTGTGAGTGCTTTAATGCTCCAGCTTGAGCTTGCATGGACCTTGACTTGTGGGAATCTAGGCAAGGAAAGGGCTTGGGGAGGAAAGGTGCAAGGGTGCTACATGTGCAGAAGTAAGCTCAATTGCCACTACTGTAGGCTTAACCGACCCGCACACTGGCACACCTCGAGGATGGCAACGTCTTGGATGGGATTGATGCGCACCACCGTTGAGTCCACCAACACCCTGCGGTCCGCGTCGGGGCAGTGCACGGCAATCTGCGAGCAGAGCATTGTTGCATGAAGCTTACAAGCATTGTGCAAGGCGAGGTGGTAAGAGGGCCAGAGCCATGCACAGCACAAGAGGCATGCCTGCCTGCATGATTGGTCGCACTAAGAACAGCAGCACTGGGTGTTGCTATGTTGATACACATGCACAGTTGCACCAGCAACAGCCCAAGTCAAATACCATTCATAAGGCAGCAGCTCAAGTCAGACTCCATTCACGAAAATCGGCAAACTGCCTCATGTGGAGCTCCTACTCTTATGATGCCATGCACACCTGCATCTGTTGCCCAAGTGTCCATTCTCCATGCCTGCCGTGCGCGAACGTTGCCACGTGGTGCAGCCCAACCACCGTGGCCGCCTCCTTGTACGGCAGATAGTTGGGGGGCTCCACCACCAGGTGGGCGGCATACTTGGAAGAGTAACAAGCGCGCGCCCTGATGGTTGCCATCACGTCGGTCCCACCTGCTGCACCTGCATCTATTGCAAACACAAACAAGCAAACAGAGGTGCTCATCGGGAGCTTTTTAAAGGGCTTCACATTTTGGGCATGATAATCAAGCCGCTTCAGCTCCCGATTGAATATCGCCCGCCCGCGAATTTTACACACATACATGTAAAGCCCATGTTCCCGGCTTTTGAGAGCTGGCCTTTGCGCGGCTGGCCATGGCCTTCGCATTTTGGAGTTGTACGGAGGTTTTATTGGGCAGTCATACCTTGCATCTCGTTTGTATGAGAGCTGCTTAGGGTTTTGCGCTTCACTACATACTGTAAGGACACAACGCATTCAACTCCAAGAAGTAACGTAAAAATGAGACGAACTCACCAGAGCTGGGATCCGGCGGTGGGACAGTACTTGCCGGCGGGACAGTACTTGCCACAGCTGTACATCAAGGAAAAGCGAGGGTGCAGTATGCAGGTAGGTCATTTGTCATGAAATTGTAAAGGAACACACATCTTACTAACGGTTCGGAAGACCATGACCATGCATGGTATGCAGTGTACCAACGATGCGCGTGACAGACTCGTCCAGAGCCACTGAGGTAGAAGCCGCGGACTTGGCAGTTCAGCACGCTAAAAGTCGGAAAGGCATGTAGCTACCAAAGCCACCAGAATCTTCGCAAACACAACAATGCTCATAGGTACATATTAACGGCCAAAAGCTAATGCAGGTCGGTATATCAGGAAGACCACGTGCATCCTAGATTCCCGATATGTGGCGGGTGCAGGTAGAGGCAGCGCGGCTCGCATGTAGTAGCAATCTTTATGCAGCATTCTTAACACCTGAGGTAGCTTCATGCGCAAGTTTGCAAAGGCTATCTGCAAAACCTAGGTTTGGAACTCGCCATCAGCGCCTCGGTGTGCTAGCGGGAAAGGGCGTGCGTCCTGTCTACTCTCAACCACAATGCCTAAGCACCGCAGCACAATTGAGGGACAATTCTCGCAGGGCTTGACGAGACACTCCTAACGCCCTATGCGTCCAATGGCACTCCTAACGGCCCAATGCGCAAACTTTACAAGTGCGTGCCTGCAGTGGCGGTTTACAGGATACGAGCCTAACAATGCTTAAGTACGCGATTGCATACAACGGACCTTGGATAGCGGCCTTTAGAGCCAACTGCTGTCGAACAGTGAGGCCTGCTGCTTGTTCCGCATTCAGCAGGCGGAAAGCGCCGCCGACCTCGGCATCTACGTCAAACCCTAAATCTAAAAGGGCAGCAACAATTGGCGAAATGGAACTATCGTCCTCGCCCCCCACAGAAAGCAGGGCTTGCCGAATGGTCACCATGTCTAGGTAGACCCGGACCCTGTGTGCTAATTGTATTGGAGGTCACTGTAATGTTTTGCAGTTCGTTAGCGCGCGCTTCTGAGACCATGTCGTAACTTCGGAGCTAGTGGAGCTTGAACTTGTGTGTACTTGTGAGGTTATGGCGCGCTAATATGACTATTTAAGCGGACCATTTTATGAACATTGTAAGTCTAAGTTGAGGTTGAAACACCGATCTTCTGAGCCTACGTAAGTGTATCGGACAGTAAAGTCAGCTTACGCTTCCCAGTTGTTAGGAGCGGCCTGGTTCCCTTTCAATTGGTATCAGAGCCTAGGTGATCCTCCTCGCCGAGCTCTTCATCGTCGTCGCCATCGTCTTCGTCGTCACCGCGCCATCGCGCCATCGCGCCATCGTCTTCGCTCTTCACTTCGTCTTCGCCTTCATCACTTCGTCTTCGTCTTCGCCCTCATCCCTTCGTCTTCGCCCTCGTCACTTCATCTTCGTCCTCTTCACCTCTTCAACAACCATGTCTCTCTCGAACGAGTTCCCGTTCCCGCCTTCCTATCCTGCCGCCACCGACCCCGTGCCCGCGGCGCCCCCCACCACGTCCGAAGCCGCCCTCCCCTGGGATAGAATCTCAGAGGTAGCCGCCCGTGCTGCCATCCGAGCCTTGGAGAATCGTTCGTCAACGACCAACAACCAGCACGGACCAGCCCCCCGCTTCAACCCCACAGCCAAGGATGCCGATCTTGCTTCATGGGCCAACCGCCTACGCCTACACTTTACGGTATGCGGTTTGCATGAAGACAGTGCGCCTGCTGTCGCCATCGCCCTTTCTGCCATCGAAGGACCTACCCTCGACACCCTCCTCCTACGCCACCAATGTACCCCCTTCACTTCCTTAACTGCGGTCCTTCAAGCGCTAACACCCCTCACGCCCAGACCCGATCACCTCTTCCAGGCACAGATAAGCATGGACACGATTCGTCAAGGCTCAGGCCCGAACTCCCTGGTGTCGTATGTGGCTGCTTTTGGATGCCTCATGGGCGACCTTCCTCACCATCATGAACTCGATCACGTCTTTCACTTTGCAAAGGGTCTCAACAGGGACCTCCGTGAGGAAGTCTACGCAAGGCTCCCTCAGTACGGCACCGATGTGACCCTGCAAATCATCATCGACTTGGTGATGGGCATCTTTTCCGGGCGCCACAACGCCCATCTCATCGACTACAACACCACGCCATGCAGCTCCCGAGACGCCCGCCGGGACGACCCTATGGACCTCACTGCCAACGTCTACTCCACCACGCCGCACCACAGCAACTCACCTCTTCCGAGCGGCGTCAAAACCATCAGGGTCCCCTACAACTTGTGCCTCCAGCGCATGGCCCAGCACGTCTGCCTACAGTGCGGTGACGAGTCGCACACCAAAGAACACTGCCCGGAACTTCGTCGCCTCCTGGCAGCAACCACCATCTCCCAGCCCAACTCCTCCCGCCGGCACTCCTTTCAGGGTGCTAACAACAGCCGCAAGCCGCCCCGCTCGCCTGCCTGCTCGCCCTCCTGCTCCTCCGCATCCTCCACCTCCGAGGATCGACGATCACAC